CTAGCACAGGGCCTGCCACTTCCCCAAAGCAATGGACTAAAGGCAGCCTTTCTCCAACCGAGATCCTCAGACATCATTGGACTACAACTCCCATCATCCCTGGCCACTGGGCCTGGCAGCTAGGGATGGTGGGATTTGCAGTCCAACTACATCTGGGGACCCAAGGTTGAGAAAAGGCTGAAGACCTCTGTAGCCCAGCCTTTGACCTCATTTCTTTCTGCCTCTCTACCCTCTACAGGTTCTTCCTCATGTATCTCATCAACAAGGATGAAACGGAGCACACTGGCCAGGTGAGGGGGAAGCCCTAATCTTACCAGAAGTGGAGCTAGGGGAGAAGTGACAGGCACCTGTCACTTTAAGGAAGGGTCGGTGGGGGATCCCAGGCCCTCTCTGTCTGGACCTCAGGACCCTATTTGGACCCCCAGTGTTTCTCCCAACAATTTTTATTATTTTTTTCCAAATATCTTAAACATCATCATCATCATCATTTATTATTTATACCCCGCCCATCTGGATGAGTTTCCCCAGCCACTCTGGGCGGCTTCCAATCAAGTGTTAAAAACAATACAGCATTAAATATTAAAAACTTCCCTAAACAGGGCTGCCTTCAGATGTCTTTTAAAGATAAGATAGCTGCTTATTTCCTTGACATCTGGTGGGAGGGTGTTCCACAGGGCGGGCGCCACTACCGAGAAGGCCCTCTGTCTGGTTCCCTGTAACCTCACTTCTCGCAGTGAGGGAATTGCCAGAAGGCCCTCAGTGCTTGATCTCAGTTTCTGGGCTGAACGATGGGGGTGGAGACGCTCCTTCAGGTTTACAGGACCGAGGCCGTTTAGGGCTTTAAAGGTCAGCACCAACACTTTGAATTGTGCTCGGAAACGTACTGGGAGCCAATGCAGATCTCTCAGGACTGGTGTTATGTGGTCCTGGCAGCCAATCCCAGTCACCAGTCTAGCTGCCGCATTCTGGATTAGTTGCAGTTTCTGGGTCATCTTCAAAGGTAGCCCCACGTAGAGCGCATTGCAGTAGTCCAAGCGGGAGATAACTAGAGCATGCACCACTCTGGCAAGACAGTCCGCAGGCAGGTAGGGTCTCAGCCTGCGTACCAGATGGAGCTGGTAGACAGCCGCCCTGGACACAGAATTAACCTGCGCCTCCATAGACAGCTGTGAGTCCAAAATGACTTAACAATATTATTCTCCTTTAAATCTATATCTTATCCGAATTAACTTCCCTCCACCCCTCTTCTGGCTTCACTGGGGTGGACCGCCAGTGTTTTTGCCTTGCTGGACTTTGTCCTTGAACTCTGACCATGCCTCTTACTTGCTCGGCGGAGAACAGGGAGGAGTGTGAGCATGCGTAGAAAACCGTGGTGTACGAGAGGCAAAGTTTTCCATTTGTCCCTCTGCTCACTTTTGCCCCTGGTCCCACCCACTGTTGGCATGTAGCCTTCAGAAAGTTGCCCAGAAGGGAATGCGGGCCTCTCTGCAGTTCTGGGCCAGTGTGTGCTAACCCACCCACCCAAACACTTCCTGTCTCATTCCTTAAGGCCTGTTCCAGAGCCAAAAGGTTTGGGATGGAGAACTGGTCATTGGAGGCAAGATGGGGAAAGAGGGAGCAGAGTCTTGCCCCCTCCCCACCCTCAGCCTAGTCCCATGTCAAGGGCAGCACCAAGAAACCGTAAAGGCAGCTGCAGTAGGGCGTGCTGAATTTTTCAGCTTTTCACATTCCAAAAACGAGGGGTGCTAAAAAGTTGTGACGTTGCTTGGAAATTCAAAATATAAGTTTGGTTAAATGAATATAATTTACTTTTGCATGGTAGGTTAAACGTGTACAAAATTGCGCAGAAATCATTAAAAATGATTGCCAAATACTTGCTTATTATTATTATTATTATTATTTAGCATTACCTGATATGTTCAGAAGGTAAAATTAAAATTATTTGGTTTTTCCGAAACCAGTTTATGTGCTGCTTTTCAAATGTAGACTTTCCAAGCCAAAAATGGTCCAGTTGCAAAGATAACAGCAGGTTTGAATTCCTCATACCCAGAAACATATTTTTAAGACCTAAATAAATTTGCAAAAAAATGGAAGTTTCACACCCTAAACCGCCCTACTGCTGCAGGCCACATGCATCTGAAGACATCTTTCGAAACAGGAGCGGGAGGCGGGCAATAGTTTCCGAGCACGATTCAAAGTGTTGGTACTGACCTTTAAAGCCCTAAACGGTCTTGGTCCAGTATACCTGAAGGAGCGTCTCCACCCCCATCATTCTGCCCCGGACGCTGAGGTCCAGCACTGAGGGCCTTCTGGCGGTTCCCTCACTGCGAGAAGCCAAGTTACAGGGAACCAGGCAGAGGGCCTTCTCGGTGGTGGCACCCGCCCTGTGGAACACCCTCCTAGCGGATGTCAAAGAAAAGAACAACTACCAGAGTTTTAGAAGACATCTGAAGGCAGCCCTGTTTAGGGAAGCTTTTAATGTTTAACAGACCACTGTATTTTAATACTTTGTTGGAAGCCGCCCAGAGTAGCTGGGGAAACCCAGCCAGATGGTGGGGTATAAATAATTTTTTATTATTATTATTTATTTATTTATTTAGCCCTCCTCCCCACTGGTTTTTGCCTGTTTCCCCAGCAGGGATGCTGCCCTTTTTCTTAGTCCTTCTCAGCGGCCTCTTCCTCTTTTCCCACAGGAGTCCTACGTCTGGAAGATGTACCAGGAGCGGAGTTGGGACTTCTTCCCGGCCGGCGACTGTTTCCGCAAGCAATATGAAGACCAGCTTAGCTAAAGGCCCCCTTCCACGCCCTGTGCCCCGGAGGAGGCACCCGCTCTGGGCCCACCCACCTTCCCTCGCCCTCTTCCCCCCTGCCCGCGGCGAGGGGGAGGGAGGCAGCAGCGATGGTGCCTCAGAGTGGCGGTGGCACACCTGATCCGACCTTTTTCCTTTTCCAAAAGTGTTGTGCAAGAGCAAGGGTGGTGCGGGGGCTGCCTTGCCCGCCCCACCTTTCTATCCCCCCCCCTCCCCAACCCCACCTTCTGTGGCCAGGCCTGGCTCTCTCCAGACCCGGCAAGTATTCCTGCCCTTTGGAGAAAGAAAGCGATCTGCTGGCTCAGGGCTGCGCGTGCCGCCTTGCACCCGGGGCCGCAAAGAGTTCCGCACCCGGCCAGTAACTCTTCCCACCCATTTCCCGTCCCGTGGGGGTGTCCATGCAATACTTCCCTTCTAGGGTCAAAGGGCTCCCCCACTTTCAAGTGCCTTTTATGGACTCTTTCCCCAAGCCAAGAGGGGAGGGCCTTTTTTGGGGGGGGAGCCAAATGCTATTTTAGATTCATGAGGAGGAGAAGGAGAGTTATTTTGCTGCTGTCTGTCAGTTGTCTAGCAATCAGGCGGGGGGCGCTGCAAGCTTGTGAGTGCAGGAGGGAGAGAGGGAGGTGTGGACACCCTGTTCCAGGTTCCCAAACATGGGGGGGAGTTGGGGTTGCCAGCAACGCAGCCCCCCCCCCCGCTTCTGTGCCCCTTGCTGTGTTGCCCACCCCTTAAATCTGTGTCTCATTTGTGGGGCTCGTGCTATTTATGGTTTGTGTGGTGCCTGGGCTCCTCTGTGCCAATGGAGCTGGGGGAGGCACCCTAGAAACTCTACCCCAGTGTGTGTGTGTTGTGTGTGAGAAGGCATGGGGGGGGGGAAGCCGGGGGGGCACCAGGATTTGATTGTGCTTCACACTCCTTTCCTGGAAGCGGTGGCCCCTTTCCCCTCCTGCCCGGATCCATCCTGTTACCCTCCATGTCTACTGCCAGTGCCAAAACAAGCCAGGCCTGTTACTGGGGGGGTGGGCGGGGGGGTGCCACTCTGTCCCCTCCCCCGCCCCTCACCAGGCCAGCTTGGTTCCCTGCCAATAAAACCATAGATTGCTGCAACTGGCCGACGAGTGCGTGTCTTCCTTGCGTGCAGCCAACGAAATGCCTTTCTAGCAACACCTGGTTTCTAACCCCTGGGTTGCCAGGTCAGGAGCACCCCACGCCCTGAGATCTAGGAGGTAGCCCCCAATGATGCCATGGGGTGGGGAGGCCCTAGAGATAGAGGTGAATTTGGAGAGGGAGGTGGAGGAGGAAAGGCACCCCCAACCCCATCCTGAGTGTCTATGCTATAATTTGCAGCTGGCTCCTGCCACTCTGAGGGACGCGGGTGGCGCTGTGGGTTAAACCACAGAGCCTAGGACTTGTCGATCAGAAGGTCGGCGGTTCGAATCCCCGCGACAGGGTGAGCTCCCATTGCTCGGTCCCAGCTCCTGCCCACCTAGCAGTTCGAAAGCACGCCAGTGCAAGTAGATAAATAGGTACCGCTCCAGCGGGAAGGTAAACGGCGTTTCCGTGCACTGCTCTGGTTCGCCAGAAGCAGCTTAGTCATGCTGGCCACGTGACCCGGAAGCTGTACGCCGGCTCCCTCGGCCAATAAAGCGAGATGAGCGCCGCAACCCCAGAGTCGTCAGCGACTGGACCTAACGGTCAGGGGTCCCTTTACCTTTACCCTTTACCTGCCCGTCTGACTCTTGCAAGCTGCATGCACAGTCTTCTTAATTATTATGTTGTTATTGGCACTCTCACCACCCTAGAGAGTCAAGTCCTCCGCCTGGAGAGGGTTAGGCAAACCTGGAGATTTCAGGTCAGACTTGAGGTCTGGCAACCCCAGGACGAACAGCCACAAACACACATGCAACCTCTCCCTGTCTTTCCGAGCTGCACAAGGCCGGTGTCAGTTCCTGCTTCTCACTTCCCGATTGGCATTCCCAGTTCTTGATTTGGTTCAGAGGTGCAGCCTGAATCGGCCCTCAAATGGCAAAGCCTGTCACTGACCAGCCTGCATCCAGACTCCTTGCACCAGCCCTCCCAGTCCCTTTGCCCACCCTCAAACGGAAGGGCTCCCCGACATGGTTGGCTCATATTTCATGGTACTCCGGTGCTCCCCAGTTGTTTTCCTTGCACTGCGCCCGCTCCGAGAAAAGCAAAGAACGAAGGCTTTTTTAAAAAATTGCTTTTTTACTGGCGTGGCGTGATACGTAAAAGGAAGACCCATGAAACCAGGAGGTTGGTGTGTCGCTCTGTGCCTGTTGGGAAGGGGGCCACAAGGCAGGCCCAGTGGCCCTGAACGACACAACGCTAAGCGGCCCTTGAGGACCAGTGCCGAGGCAGGCTGGCTCCTCTCACCCACTCACCCCCCCAGCTCCTCCTTTAAGGCTCTCCATGCCTGTGAGGGTCAGAGACAGGGAGAGGGTGGCAGGGGGCGTTTTGGCACACATGCTCCACTTGTAGGCAGGACAGGGGGGCAAGTGTCATTCTGGCACGTAGAGGTTGCTGGCAGAGTTTGGATCGCCCACAGGCCGGGTCTCTAACACGACGGTGCTGGCAGAGGATGGAAAAAGAAGAAGAGTGTGGATTTGATATCCCGCTTTATCACCACCCGAAGGAGTCTCAAAGCAGCTAACATTCTCCTTTCCCTTCCTCTCCCACAACAAACACTCTGTGAGGTGAGTGAGGCTGAGAGACTTCAGAGAAGTGTGACTGGCCCAAGGTCACCCAGCAGCTGCATGTGGAGGAGCGGAGATGCGAACCCGGTTCACCAGATTACAAGTCCACCGCTCTTAACCACTACAGCACACTGGCACAGGGCACAGGTGAGCGGCTGTTTGGGTGGTGGTGTTTTTGAGGGGGCTTCTGGTGTCACAGGGGGCTGCAGACTGAGACTCCCTGCATGAACCTGCCCAAGATCGTGGGGTACACCCTCCCAGATGGGCTGGCACAGCTGCTCAGGGAGCCCAGTAAGTCTTGAAGATTTTCTCAATCGGGGCAGACCTGGATAAAGAGTCCAGAATACCCATGGCACAGAATAAAAACTGGTGATGCTCAAATTCAATGGACACCGCACCCCACAACACAAATAAAGCACGGATGGGAAAAAAATGTGGCGGCCCCAACAAAGAGGGGCAATACTCCCAACCACACAACCACCCATATTTTTTTAAATAAAAAATTAAATAGAACTGGAAGGGGCACGGGGGCTTTGATGGGTGCCAAGAAGGGTACCAAGCAAAGTGCCAAGATGCCCAAAGGCACATTGGGGTCCCAAACCTAATTTGTGGTTGTCATTGCTTCTCTGCTGTATACAGATAAAATTAGATCCTTCTGAAACCTACCTGGAGGTTCCTATTGAACGGAAAGTCCACCGTTGATCCTGCACCTCCTGTTGTAACTGAGAAGTAGTGGGGTTGTGTCAGGATTATTGTTATTATTAAATGTATTTTTTCCCCACCTTTCTCCCAAGCTGGGATTCAAGGCGACTTGCACCATTCAAAAAAATTGTTGCAATGTAATCAAAGAAAAGCCAGTTTTAAAACAATAATTAAAATTTACCAGAACCCATTTAGAACCAGCAATTAAAATCTACTCTGCCCTGATGGCAGCCCAGTGGTCGGAACTATCTGCTCCTTGGTTTTCGAAAGGCCTGTCTGAGCAGAAAGGTCTCAGCCTGCCAGCAGAAGGATAACAAAAGGAGCCAGTCTAAGTTCGCTTGGGAAGCAGCAACCAGCCCCCAACCCCTTTAGCCTTGGGGCAAGCATCTTATACAGGGGTCAGCAACCTTTTTCAGCCGTGGGCCGGTCCACCGTCCCTCAGACCATGTGGGGGGCAGGACTATATTTGGGAAAAAATAATGAACGAATTCATATGCCCCACAAATAACTCAAGAGATGCATTTTAAATAAAAGGACACATTCTACTCATTTAAAAACACTCTGATTCCTGGACCGTCCATGGGCCAGATTTAGAAGGTGATTGGGCCGCATCCGGCCCCCGGGCCTTAGGTTGCCAACCCCTGATCTTATACCTCTGGGATCAAGTGTAGGGAAACGGGGGCACGCCCTGGATGCCCAGGTAAGAGGGCTATTCTGCTGCAACAAGCAGGGTAAAGAGGCTGGGAGAAACGGAAAGAGCGGCTCCTGAGCTGGAAACTGTTCTGCAAGGATACCCTGCAAGGTTGGCGTTTTGTTGCTTGATTTACTCTCATTTCTGCAAAAAAAAAATGTAGAGGGAGCGACAGCAGGGGAGGGCGGAAGATGGAGGGTTCCAGAAAGAGGAAATAAGAACCCACTTAGCACCTTGGCCTGACAGAACGTCCACAAGAAAACGGGAAGAAGAGGTTTGAGACTGCGGGAAGTGAGGAATTCACCCTCCCTCTATGGGCCTTTGGCCTGGTCTCCCAAGAAGCCCAGCTCTGACACAATGCTGGAAGGAGGGATCCCTCTGTACCTGTCCTGATCCAAGAGGCCACATCTGCACACCGTGGCACCAAAAGGCGTGCACACAGTTCCTCACCACCGCTGTGAAGAGAAAGAGGCAAAAGTGAATTCAGAGTCTGCCGCAGTCGCCTTCCCCAGTTTTACTTGGGATGCCTCACACTGGGCTTGGAGATGCAGCTGTTGCAGGAATTTATGTATAGGTTGGGGGGCGGGTTGCCCCTCCAGCAGATATCATGCACATGCAGCCCACTAACAAAATCAGCACAATCGCTTTTGTGACTTTTGTGATTTGTCCCCACAAAACACTTCATCGCAGTTTCTTCGTATCTATTCAAAGGGCCTTTGCTGCACGATACCAAATGTAAGAATTCACTGATAAATGTTTCTATGTACTGGCTCACAGGGAAAACTTCAGAAATTCATATAGACATGTGAGCTCAGCTGCTCAGCAGCCCCTCTGCCTGAGTGATAATTCCTGGCATCCTGATACCTGAGTGCCAGACAGGTAGCCATTCCAGAAATAACAAACCCAGATGAAGACCAAAGGGTGTGATTAACTTGGCTGGGAAGCAGGGAAATATAAATATCTCTTTTGTTACACTTGATGGGTGTTTGGTGGAGGGCAAGGAGAACCATGGGGCAGGGTCCAGGATGCTCAGATTACTGCCACCAGACCTCCCCTTTCATGATGTAACCGTGATGTATGAGTGATGTAGTTTGGGGGGGTGTAACATGGGGATTAGCAGCTAATAAAAGTTTGGGGGCTCTTTTATTCGGGGCTTCCATCTTGTTCCACCTTGTGGCAGGTGGGAGTCCTGTCGCGACATTCTTCACTCAAGACCAAGCCTACTGGCTGCTGCTTTGCTTGGGTATCCCTGGCTGGTGTCCTTCTTTTTTGTCCAAGGGAGCCCTCAGATTTCTCCGTTAACACAGCTTTCTCTGGAGTCGGGAGGAAATTATTCCAAAGTGGTACTAACATCCTCAAGCTAAAAGGGGTCCCCCCCAAAAAAACCTTAACCTAGCGAAATATCTTGCGCAGCGATCAAGCCACTGCGTGGCCCACAGCGCACACCACCCCAAACAAAGAACAGGAATGAAGGGGCAGCAGGTTGGGGGGAAATAAATCGTTTAGCCCTCCAGTTAACAGCTGCCACCAAGACACTCTGGGGAACCAAAGCTGTTGGTATCAAGCCCCCGAAACGCAAATTTCTCTGGGACACACTCAGAAACAACTTGGAAGAGAAGGAGAGGAGAACACAGGATCCAGGTGTAGAGGAACAAGCAGGTGGTGGGGCTGGGGAGGGCAGGCAGAAAGGACTCACCGACTGACTCCACCGCCACGTCAAAGGCAACTTCTGGGGGGCACGGAAGCAGCATGCCTCTGAGGCTGACAAACCGGACGCTCCCTGGGGAAACAAAGCAGATAATAATAACAACAACAACAACAAAATTATTTATACCCCGCCCATCTGGCTGGGTTTCCCCAGCCACTCTGGGCGGCTTCCAACACAATATCAAAATACAGTAATGCCTCAAACATTAAAAACTTCCCTAAACAGGGCTGCCTTCAGATGTTGTCTAAAAGTCTGGTAGTTGTTCTTCTCTTTGACATCAGGTGGGAGGGCGTTCCACAGGGCGGGTGCCACCACCGAGAACGCCCTCTGCCTGGTTCCCTGTAGCTTTGCTTCTCGCAGCGAGGGAACCGCCAGAAGGCCCTTGGAGCTGGACCTCAGTGTCCGGGCAGAACGATGGGGGTGGAGACGCTCCTTCAGGTATACTGGACCAAGGCCGTTTAGGGCTTTAAAAGTCAACACCAACACTTTGAACTGTGCTCGGAAACGTACTGGGAGCCAATGTAGGTCTTTCAAGACCAGTGTTATGTGGTCTCGGCAGCCGCTCCCAGATTGTTTTTGTGCCTGCAAGAAAGCACGAAGGCGACACTCTACCGGCCCATCAACCTCCTCCTCTCTCTGTACTTACTGTTCATCAGAACCATCACCGTCTTGCTGTCCAGCTGCGTCACCTGGACCGGGCCAGTACACAAAGGTTCTGTTGAGAAACGTGTTTATAACAAAATATATATATAGGGCATTTTGAGTTTGGTGTACATTTGTACCTCCTCTACATTGTCAGGTGCTAAGGTTTCCCCCTGGTTCAAGGCAGCCAGACCTGCTATTGCTTGGTCGGCAAAGCACCCCCCACCCCGCTCCCAGTTCTTGTTCTCTGGGCATGGGCATAGCTGGAGGGGGGGCCTGGATCCACAAATATTATTGAAAAGCATCCAAAATACTCAATTATCTAGGGTTCCGCACCCCATCCACTCCGTCCAGCAAAAGCCTGCCTCCTACAATTTCCTATTTATGGGGTATTTCCCCCCCCCCCAATTTCCCAAGGAAAGCTCCACAACTTTGGTTCCCCCCCTCCAACAAAAATCCTAGCCACAACCATTCTGGATTAGAATGCAGCCCCTCCAACTCTGGATCTCCCCGCAGCCTGATGCTTTTGCAAACACACACACACACACTTGCAAGTGCTCTTACTGCTGTCGTCATCGATGAACCAGGAAGTGAGGGAATTGAGGTTGATGATCTGGAACTGGACTGCCTGTCCTGGGGGGCCCTTGGTCACCCCGATACAGACCACCGGGTACTCCTCATTGGGGGACGTCAGCATCTCAAAGACCGGAAGCGGCGAGGGCAGCGGGAAGTCGAAATACTGGCAAAGGAAGGGAAGGGTACTTGACAAGCCTGCAGAAGTAGCCCTGCATGGAGAGTGGCTGCGATCGTTGAAGCCACCTAAGGTTACCAGATTTTTTTCAATGAATCCGGGGACACTTTAAATAAAATAAATAAATATTACGTTCCGGATGTATGGAAGTGAGAGCTGGACCACAAAGAAGGCTGATCGCCGAAGAATTGATGCTTGTGAATTATGGTGCTGGAGGAGACTCTTGAGAGTCCCATGGACTGCAAGAAGATCAAACCTATCCATTCTTAAGGAAATCAGCCTTGAGTGCTCACTGGAAGGACAGATCGTGAAGCTGAGGCTGCAATACTTTGGCCACCTCATGAGACCCTGGAAAAGACCCTGATGTTGGGAAAGATGGAGGGCACAAGGAGAAGGGGACGACAGAGGACAAGATGGTGGGACAGTGTTCTCGAAGCTACCAGCATGAGTTTGACCAAACTGCGGGAGGCAGTGGAAGACAGGAGTGCCTGGCGTGCTCTGGTCCAGGGGGTCACGAAGAGTCGGACACAACTAAACAAACAAACAAACAAAAATGTTCGGGACGTTGATGCTTCAGCGATGGTGGCGGCAGAGGGGTGGCCGCCGCCTTCAGCTCAACCCCCACGTTTCCCCTTCCTCCGAGGCTTCTGTCTCCTTTCTCCATGACCCTGGGCATCCCCTGAGTTGCTGGTTCTTCGGTGGTGGTGGAGAAGCGGTGCTTGGTGGGTCAGGCATGGAAGGCGGAGAAGGAGGGCTGAGAGTGGCGGCAGTGGCGAGGCTCGGGCAGCGCGATGCCTCCCTTCCCATCAGAGCAGCCCCAATCCCACTCCTACTTGCTTGAAAGCAGGAGGGGGCAGGGATCCCTCCGCTGGGAAGGGAGGCTTCCCATTGCCTAATTGAGAGATCCCTGCCCCCTCCAAGCTCTGATAGGCCGCGTGAAGCCTCCCTTCACAGCTGAGAGATCCCTGCTCCGCTCCTGCTTACACGCAAGTAGAAGAAGAAGAAGAGTTTGGATTTGATATCCCACTTTATCACTCCCCGAAGGAGTCTCAAAGCGGCTAAGATTCTCCTTTCCCTTCCTCCCCCACAACAAACACTCTGTGAGGTGAGTGGGGCTGAGAGACTTCAGAGAAGTGTGACTAGCCCAAGGTCACCCAGCAGCTGCATGTGGAGGAGCGGGGAATCGAACCCGGTTCACCAGATCACGAGTCCACCGCTCTTAACCACTACACCACACTGGCTCAAGTAGGAGTTGGGAGGCTGCTTCAATAGGCAGCATGAAGCCTCCCTTTTCAGCTTAGTTGCTGGGGTCAGGGACGGTGGAAGCAGCCAGGAAGCTACATCTTTGAGCCCCTGCACCACCATCACATGGGGACTTCCAAGCAGCTCCTGAAGCTAGCCAGAGCCAACTGCTCCGGGCTGCTGAGACTGTGTTTCCCGGGGACATTAGATGAAATCCGGGGACTGAGTTAAAAACAAAAGAGGAATGCAAATGGGTAAAACTGATGGTAATTGCAGCCAGACAGGTTATAGCAAGTAACTGGAAAAATGCAGAAGAGCTGGGGTGAACCAGTGGAGGAAAAAACTGAGTAATATTATAATTTTAGAATAGCTAACTGCAAAGATACATAGAACGAAAGGGTTTAAGGTCAGTGAGAAAGAGGAGGATTGGTTTGAGAAGATATTGAATTATTTGAGTAGGTTTGAACAATTTGGGGCAATTAAAATGTTAAAAGTTAAATAAACCTTGTGGAAGGAGGAGTGTTAAGGTATATAGAAGTGTACATATGGTTAATTTGAATATATTATTGAATATGTATATTATTGAATATTGTATACCCAATGTATCAGCTGCCTGGGGGGTTTCACTGTTAGTGTTTTGGTGGTTGGTAAAAAAGAAATATGGGGACATTCCAGAGATGGAATTTGTCCAGAGACTTATTCACAAATCTGGGGACTGTCTCTGGGAAACAGGGACGTCTGGTAACCCTACCATAACATCCTGTTGATCATAATCAGTATGCTTGGTTTTTGGTCCCGAGCTCTCGTAGGAGGCAGCTGATTCGCACGAGAGCTCAAGACCAAAAAACAGGACATTCCGGGATCTGGTCAGAAGCTGGCATGGCTTCTGCCGGTGCTATAAAGCATTCACTGTGCCTTCTCTTCCCTCTCGTGGAGGCAAAGGCCCTTACCTTGACCAGCATGAACTTCTGCATGGGCTCGTACCATTGCAACAACACCACACCCGCCTCCAGCGCTCCACACAGGTAGTAGCAGCCGGTCTGTGCGTTCCTGGCTGCAAGAAAAGAGGAACAGGCTGTCTGGAAATGGTGGGATGCAGAGGAATAGCGGGAGGAACCAGCTGGAAAACCCCCAAGGGAAGAAGGCTCAGAGCCAGATAATAATAATAATAATAATAATAATAATAATAATAATTTATTTGTACCCTGCCCATCTGTCTGGGTTTCCCCAGCCACTCTGGGCGGCTTCCAACAAAGATTAAAAATACATTAAAATGTCACACATTAAAAACTTCCCTGAACAGTTTAGACGTCTTCTAAATGTCTGGTAGATTTTTTATCTCTTTGACATCTGGTGGGAGGGTGTTCCACAGGGCGGGCGCCACCACTGAGAAGGCCCTCTGCCTGGTTCCCTGGAGCTTTGCTTCTCACAATGAGGGAACTGCCAGAAGGCCCTCGGCGCTGGACTTCAGTGTCCAGGCAGAACGATGGGGGTGGAGACCACAATGAGTGGTCGGAGGGAGAAGACTGGGAGGAGGAAATGTCAGAAGCTGAAGAAGGGACAGGGCTTAATGGGCAGGGAGAGTCTGTGGCAGAGAGAAGTCCAGAATCGTCTCCCAAAACCAGGAAAGGCATGAAAAGGGCAGAGGATAGGTTGGCTGAATGCAGGCACAGTCTCCAATTGCTTGGAAAAAGCCCTGGAGAGGCTGTGGAGAGGCAGGGACTTACAGTCTCGGCAACTGATTTTCATGGAGTAAGACCATCAGCAATGAGCTGCTCTGCTCATTAGGCCTGAAACTCAAACAAGTCCGTGGCATAGCTGTCAACTTACAGATTTGAAAATAAGGGACCAGCAGCCTCGGAAATAAGGGATCAGCAGCCAAAATCAGGGCTTTTCAGAGCACAGGTATGTTCAATTTCTGAGCCCCTCTGAGCCAAAGCCAGAAAGCCCAGCAGGCAGCCAAACAAAGCCTCAAGCGGTGGTTCCCACAGCGCAGCAACCCGGCAAAGGGGATGCGGCAAGGGAAACCACTGTCCCCTCTCCGCTGGGAAGCGCTGAGCAAAGGCGAGTCCCCAGGCAACGCAGCCGATTTGATCGGGACAAGGCACGCAAGCTCCACCCCCAGTCGTTCTTAGACTCCTTATTGGATGAGCAACACATCCAAGCAACAGAGTTGGAGCCTCCCTCCTCCCTGGCCGGCAGGGAGGGAAGGAGAGGAGCTGCTTCCTTTGAAACCCGGGAAATTTAAGGGACATCATCAGGACACAGTGCTGGGATAAGGGACTTTCCCACCAAATAAGGGACGGTTGACAGCTATGGTCCATGGAGATCGTGTTTTTGCTAATAAAGAGTTAGCTCCAACTTTGAACTCTGTGATTACTGACCAGCATACTCAACAACTTGGACCCCACCCCTAAAAAAACCCACAACTCAGTAACTTTTGTATCTGGATTTTTCCACTCTCTGAAAATGGCAGCCCTACCTCCCTGCTTATTCTGGAATTGGTCGAAATTCCCATAGGTGTGATTTTGTGAGCCCAGACAATGAACCTGACCATGAAGGGTTGGGGTGTGAGAATGGGAGCGCTGCTCCCCCTGCAGGTCAGGGCTGGAATGGCACTCACCTGTGCAACATTTTTGGCACCCCTTTGTATCCGGGATCTTGGTGGTGACGATGTTTTTCCTGAGGAGGGAGGAAAGAAGGATTGATGGTCGGCTGGCCATGATGGGCAGGTGTGGGAAGTGGCAAATGGTGAGCCAGAGATGACAACAGGTTTGTTGTATTTTTAGGGTTAGCTGCAAACTCTGACCCTGCCCAGGGCTCAGTAGGAGGTGGAATGCGAGGTGGTTTGCATCTCCTCTTCCTCTTGCCTGTAGCGCAGCCAGTTTTAGACCATAAGTTTCACCATCTATGCTGCTTATGACCTTCTCTACAATTGCCACGCAATTTGTATCATTACCAAGCCACCGTTAAAGGCACAGCTGCAGGGGCTGGCTGAAAATCTGGCAACCACCACCTGAGAGCTCACTACACAGAAAGCATGGGGGAATCCACTGCTAATGCACAAATTAATGCGTCGAGAACACGCTGCAGAATACACCTGAATTTTCTGTTGGGCATAAGCAACCTTGTAAGCCTCCAGCCAGCAGAGGGCAGCGTTGAGACGACCAGATAGGGGAAATGCACTTTGTGGCTTCCCGCTAAACCCCTCCAAGCTCCGCCCATTCCCCTCTCTCTCATTCTCTCTTTCTCTCCTACATGGCACAACCATGCACCCACCATGTAGGTTTAGAATCCAAAGCCATCCATGTAATAATAATAATAGTAATAATAATAATTTATTTATACCCCCGCCCATCTGGCTGGGTTTCCCCAACCACTCTGAGGATCTTCCAATCGAACATTAAAAACACAATACAGATTTAAACATTAAAAGCTTCCCTAAAGAGAACTGCTTTCAGATGTCTTTTAAATGTAGTATAGTTGCTTATTTCCTTGACATCTGATGGGAAGGCATTCCACAGGGCAGGTGCCACTACTGAGAAGGCCCTCTGCCTGGTTCCCTGTAAGTGAAGGAACCACCAGAAGGCACCCCCATACTGCGCTGAGGGAGCCGGAGCAAAAGGACAACCGTTCTCACATGCACTCGCGCTCCTCCTTGCCCTTGTCCCACAGTTCTTGGCGTGGGTTACCTGGGGAGTAGCCGGTGGGGGGAAATGTAGATCCCGGGGCGCTGGTCTCGGCGGCTCTGCTCATAGAGGCCGGGCAAGTTGTGGGAGAAGAGTTGGGGGGCCTTGCCTGGTTAAAGGGGGAGGAGGAGGGCAAGGAAAGAAAAAAGGATCAGTGCTGCTGCTGCTTCAAGCGGGCATAAACAGCCAAGGGTATGGGTAGTTACACCATTCAGGCCTCGCAGGTGGTATTCCCAAGAGCAAGCTAACTAGGGTGGCCTGTCTGCAGCTTTCAGTCAAGGTGGCCCAACAGAGCCTCCAAGCTCAGAGGCAGTTTATCTGGGAAGGAAAGGATTAGAAATCAGGTAGGTGCCTTGCATCATGAAGTTCAGGCAACCGGCTGATGGTTTATTTATTTTTGTGGGATGTGAAACACAAGAGCAGTCAAATACAACATTCCTAGAGTGAACATGTTTACGCATGGGGAGGAATGTTTGTCCAGCCAGCAGGTCAACTTCCTGTTTCCTTCTGGGCTGGGATAGACTTCCTCTGCATGTGACTAGAGGTGGGATTGGCCTCACCTGTGCAGGTAAGGACAAAAGCACAGGGCAGGGTAGACATCTCTCTCTCTTGGACTACATGCATCGAAGAAGCAACATCTGCTTAGTCAAAGATGCTCTCTTGGCCTCTAGCCAAGAGAGAACAAAGGGACCGTCTCTTTATGGGATAGTTTCCAGGTGTATGTTACTTTTCTAAGCTAAGTCTGCCTTCTGGGATCCGATTGTGAACAGAATGTGAGTAAACTCTTTTTATACTTTTATAGAAGACTGTGTCGTGTCTTATCTTTTATGAGGGAATAAGGGGAAAATACCAGAACAGTTATTAGCGAGCCTGAACAAACGCATCCGCTGTGAATTTAAAAAGGGGAATGCTACTCTGCTAAATTGTGAACTTGTTAACACAAGTTGGAAAGGCTATAACCAAATAATATATCCTCTCCTGGATCCCTGAACATTCCCACGATTTTTTTGTTTTAAGACTGCATCCACAGAGGCATCAGTTAGCCATTTGTGAAATGTTTAACTGTGCATCTGCAGGGGCGACTTTGTTTTCTTTTGAATTCTTATTTCGTGTGTGCTCAATTTTTATCCTGTGCACACTGTGTTGGTAGTCTCGGGTTGTAATGCAGTTTTTGCATTTGCAAAATAAGCAAATAAATAACAAATGATTATTTGCTGCTCCCATGCCTTGATGTTTCCTATTGAGGCATCTGGGTAGCCACTATGAGAAAACTAGAAAGGTCTCTTTTGGTCTGATCCAGCAAAGTTCTTTGGTTATTAATGATGCTGAGGATTTTCTACCAGAATTCAGCCAGGCATGGCCCACGCTGTTCCCGAGCCCCACCTGAGTTTTATCCTAGCACTTTGTTATGTACTGAGCTGAATAGGATCCAAAATGCAGCAGTCTGATTGGTCCTAGAACAATAGGACTCAGAATGCAGCAGTCTGATTGGTCCTAGAACAATAGGATTCAGAATGCAGCAGTCTGATTGGTCCTGGAACAATAGGACCCAGAATGCAGCAGTCTGATTGGTCCTAGAACAATAGGATCCAGAATGCAGCAGTCTGATTGGTCCTAGAACAATAGGATTCAGAATGCAGCAGTCTGATTGGTCCTAGAACAATAGGATCCAGAATGCAGCAGTCTGATTGGTCCGTGGGAGCCACCCAATCCAGCTCCAGGTGGAAGTGAATCCGCAACCTGATTGGCCTACAGGAGAATTCCGGAATAAGCCAATCACGTGCAGCCCATTGTGTAAATAATGTATATAAAGCAGACATTCTGGGGGAACTTCCATTCCTCCTCACCACTATGAGCGGAATGAAGAGCATGAAATCCACTCTCGACTCTGAGTATATTTCACACTTGCAGGCATCTAAACTGGTCTTGCCCATCCAGCCCTCTGCCCTGCAAAGCCTTCCTCTCCGCAAACCCAAAGCTATTCCCTTATCCCTCTCCATTCCGCTCTGACTTGGCTTTCTACATTATTCACCCCCCTCCTTATCCTGGTGGGATCAACTCACCAGAAAGTGACATGAGGACGTTCCCAATGCAGTAAACCCAAGTTGTGCGGCTGTGATAGAGCTGTGGCAGGGATGGGAGAGGGAGAGAAGAAACAGGAGTCAGGATATGGGAAATGGAACATGAAAACTGTTTAGCGGGGCCTTTTCGGTGGTGGCTCCTCTCACCTGGTTCCCTCTCCCAAGGGAAGCTTGCCAGGCTCGTTTGCTGTTGGTTTTTAGATCTCTGGTTCAGGTGTTTTCAAGATTGCAGAGTGCCCTTGGGTGGGTTTGTGCAGCTATGCAGTTTTTATTCCACACTGCCAAGCCAATGACTGCATGGCTGATTTTTAAGTGTAGTTTATTCTTAAGTGTCTGTTTCAGCGATCGTCTTAAAGAGGTTAAAGTTGTATTATAATTCGTTCTAAATGCATTTCTATGGTTTTATGGAGATAAAAGTACAAGGCTGTTTTAATGAAATGTACATCAAGCACGTCAAATGGTCAGAAAGCCCCATCAGAAAGCGGGCAGGAAGATTCTCCGAGTTCTCACTGTTTTGTTATTCTGTGAGTGTGCCTCAACCCACACTTATTCCTAAATTTCAAGGCTTTCACTTGATCCATTCAACCAGCCTCATGACAAATGACTGCCTATTGTGTCCATTTTACAGATGGGGCAAACTGAGGCCAAGCACTGCTTCTGAAGGCAGACAGAGCAGGTCTATGCTTGCCTCAACTGAGATACGTGAATCCACAATTTTTAATACCTGGATTATTATAATCTTTTAATTTTTATTGTTATTACTGATCTATTAATTGCCTTCTAAACCACCACTTCAAGGTGGTTTTTAACACATAAAATAGTTAAAAATAGTTAAAAACACAAAAACAACAGAGACATTTTTTTTAGAAAAATCTAAAGCCCTAGGAATAAGTCAGTGCATCTGGCTGTTAACCAGAAGGTTGGTGGTTCGAACCAACCCAAGGATGGCTGTGGACAAAATTCCTGCATTGCAGCGGGTTGGACTAGATGACCCTTGGGGTCCCTTCCAACTCCAGAATTCTGTGAAATGACAGCTCATGGTAAAGACCCATTTATCCAGCTGGGAGACACTTTCAGAACAAAAGCATCTTCTTCATGTGCCTCCTCCTCAAGAGGTCCAGAGGGTGGCAACACAAGAACGGGGCCTTCTCTGCAGTGGCTCCCCATCTGTGGAATGCTCTCCCCAGGGAAGTTCACCTGGCGCCTTCATTATACACCATTAGGCGCCAGGCAAAAATGTTTCTTTTTAACCAGGCCTTTGGCTGACCTGATTTACATCCTATGCCAGGGGTCAGCAAACTTTTTCAACAGGGGGCCGGTCCACTGTCCCTCAGACCTTGTGGGGGGCTGGACTATATATATATTTTTGGAGGGGGGGAATGAATGAATTCCTATGCCCCACAAGTAACCCAGAGATGCATTTTAAATAAAAGCACACATTCTACTCATGTAAAAACTTGCTGATTCCCAGACCGTCCGCGAGTCGGATTTAGAAGGCGATTGGGCCGGATCCAGCCCCCGGGCCTTAGTTTGCCTACCCATGTCCTATGCCCTTTAAAATACGGGGGGGGGCTATTGGGTTGGTTTATTATTATTATTATTATTATGTATTTTGTGGCTTCATATCTTGATTTTATTCTGTGAACTGCCCTGAGACCCCGGGTATAGGCCGGTATGTAATTTCAATTAATAATAATAATAATAATAATAATAATAATAATAGTCTTCAATTGATTCCGCAAAGTGGTGGTGATTATGATGTGTTTTGGGGGATAACTGATGCACGCTACGGGATATCGGCTCAGAATTTGGCTTGCATGCTATCAAATCTCAGTGGTCCTTTTTACCATTTTGCATCCCTCCACACAAGCAAATTCCCTGTCCTTCGGACCCCCGCCCCCCCACAGCACCTCCTCTATCTTACCAGTTCGAGGGTGGGCTCTGCTTCGCTCCGGTTCAAGGCATATATCCCTTCTTCAGCCCCCAGAATTAAGTGCAGCTCTGCAAAAATGGGGAAGGAAATGCAGCAGGGAGTTAATTGGGGCATGAGCCTCTTGGGCCTTAGTTTGCCTACCCATAGTCTAGCATGTACATATGGCATCTCCTTACGGGCAGTGGGGTGTTAACGCTTGCCCTCCCAGACTCCTCCAAGATCTTGTAGCTGAGCCAGCGTCCTTTGAGTTCAGCCACAAGAGAAGGATTTATACAGTATGTAGCTAGTTTAAGAGGGATGCGGGAGGCGCTGTGGGTTAAACCACAGAGCCTAGGACTTGCCAATCAGAAGGTCGGCGGTTCGAATCCCCACGACGGGGTGAGCTCCCGTTGCTCGGTCCCTGCTCCTGCCAACCTAGCAGTTCGAAAGCACACCAGTGCAAGTAGATAAATAGGTACTGCTCTGGCAGGAAGGTAAACAGCGTTTCCGTGCGCTGCTCTGGTTCGCCAGAAGCGGCTTAGTCATGCTGGCCACATGACCCGGAAGCTGTACGCCGGCTCCCTCGGCCAATAAAGCGAGATGAGCGCTGCAACCCCAGAGTCAGTCACGACTGGACCTAACGGTCAAGGGTCCCTTTACAGTGGTATCTCAGGTTACAGACGCTTCAGGTTACAGACTCCCCTAACCCAGAAATAGTGCTTCAGGTTAAGAACTTTGCTTCAGCATGAGAACAGAAATTGTGATCCGGCGGAGTGGCGGCAGCAGGAGGCCCCATTAGCTAAAGTAGTGCATCAGGTTAAGGACAGTTTCAGGTTAAGTACGGACCTCCGGAATGAATTAAGTACTTAACCTGAGGTACCACTGTACCTTTACTAGCTTGTTTAAGACGCTGCTCTCTTGTGAGAGAGAGTCTCTCAGCTGACTAGCTTAGGTGCCTCAGTTCTGAGTCTAAGCACTAGAACAGCCTTCCCCCAGCCTTGTGTCCTCTAGATTTTCAGACTAGAACTCCCACCAAACCCATCTGACATGACTCTGCTGGACATTTTGCCAAATTTTTAAAAAGTCGGCCCAGACAGCAATTTTAATCCTGGAGAAAGAGGACATGTCCTGGAAAAGGAGGACATATGGCAACCCCACTTTAAGGGGGAGTTTGGCAGTGAGCGGATTGGCACAAGCGCAAAGGGAAGTGTGAGAGGGCAGGTGGGGTGATGGTATAGTGCACAACAGTGAGAACTAGAACCTTGGAGCCAGTGTGGAGCACTGGTGAGCAAACTGGTGTAAAGTCACTCTACGAGACGGGCGTGATTGTTTGAGTTTGGTTCACCTTTCCCGGTTCCCCCCCCCCCGCCCAGTAAATGACCCCAACACAGACTTCGCCCCTCCATGCCCTACCGTTGCTATTTGGGTGGGTCCACGCAGTAGCCGAGGTGACGTGTAAGGGGCACTCGTTGAAAACCTTCTTGAAGAGCACCCTCTCCTGGGGAGAGAGGGAGGCAACAGTTATCCATGACGGTACCGACGAAAGCATAGCTGTCAACTTACAGATTTGAAAATAAGGAACCAACAGCCTCAAAAATAAGGGCTCAGCAGCCAAAATAAGGGATTTTCAGAGCACAGGTATGTTCGACTTCTGAGCCCCTCCGAGCCAAAGGCAGAAAGCCCAGCCAGCAGCCAAACGAAGCCTCAAGCGGTGGTTCCCACAGCGCAGCAACCCGGCAAAGGGGATGCAGCAAGGAAAACCACCGTCACCTCTCCGCTGGGAAGCGCTGAGCAAAGGCAACGCGGCCGATTTGATCGGCACAAGGCATGCAAGCTCCACCCCCCAGTCGTTCTTAGGCTCCTTATTGGGTGAGCAACGCAGCCAAGCAACACAGTTGGAGCCTCCCTCCTTCCAGGCAGGGAGGGAGGGGGAGGAGCTGCTTCCTTTGAAACCCGGGGAAATTAAGGGACATCATCAATAAGGGACAGCAGCGGGACACGGTGCTGGGATAAGGGATTTTCCCGCCAAATATGGACGAAAGAAGAATGGCGGGTGAAATTAATGGACTATGCAGAATTAGATAAACTAACAGGAAGGATTCGAAACCTGCGGGACCAGAGATTCTTAGAAGACTGGAGCAAATATATGAACTATTTAAAAAGCAACTGTAATGAACAGATTACGCTAGTAGGACTGCAAGAAGTTCTGTAACGAGGACTATTTGAAATATTGCAAGGAATACTATGAGCAGAATTATTAGTTAATGATAATTAAAAATAATAGAGAAATTAAGAAATGCAGAATAAATGATAAAGAACGGAAAATCATCAGAGGTGGTTGACAGAAGTCTAAAATATTGTATAAGATAATAAGTTATATTAAATGGATGTTGGAAATGCTATGTATACAAAAAACAATGAAAATGTATATTTAAAAAATCAGTAATAATAATAATAATAATAATAATAATAATAATAATTTATTTATACCCCGCCCATCTGGCTGGGCTTCCCCAGCCACTCTGGGCAGCTTCCAACCAAATATTAAAATACAGTAATACATCAAACATTAAAAGCTCCCCTAAACAGGGCTGCCTTCAGATGTCTTCTACAGGGCAGGTGCCACTACCAAGAAGGCCCTCTGCCTGGTTCCCTATAACTTGGCTTCTCGCAGTGAGGGAACTGCCAGAAGGCCCTCGGCACTGGACCTCAGTGTCTGGGCAGAACGATGGGGGTGGAGACGCTCCTTCAGGTATACTGGACCGAGGCCGTTCAGGGCTTTCAAGGTCAGCACCAACACTTTGAATTGTGCTCGGAAACGTATTGGGAGCCCATGTAGGTCTTTCAAGACCGGTGTTATGTGGTCTCGGCAGCCGCTCCCAGTCACCAGTCTAGCTGCCGCATTCTGGATTAATTGCAGTTTCCGGGTCACCTTCAAAGGTAGCCCCACATAGAGCACATTGCAGTAGTCCAAGTGAGAGATAACTAGAGCATGCACCACTCTGGCGAGACAGTTTGTGGGCATGGAGGGTCTCATCCTGTGTACCAGATGGAGCTGGTAGACAGCTGCCCTGGACCAAAATTGACCTGTGCCTCCATGGACAGCTGTGAGTCCAAAATGACTCCCAGGCTGCGCACCTGGTCCTTCAGGCGCACAGTCGCCCCATTCAGGACCAGGGAGTCCCCCACACCAGCCTGCCTCCTGTCCCCCAAGAACAGTACTTCTGTCTTGTCAGGATTCAACCTCAATCCATAACGGGAGGCCACCCAGTATGAGAACTCAAGCCTAGCCCAGCCCTAACCATCCTATGCACTGTCCCCCACTCCTACCAGGGGCATAACTGCCCCCAACCTCTTTGTCTCACTCTATACAGCAATCTCTGCTAACCTGGTGCCCTTCCAGCCAGTGGCGGACCTACATTTGGGGGCCCCTGAAGCTTGAACTGCCGTGGGGGGGCGGTCTTCGGAGCCAGTGGTCTCCACAGTCACTTACGAACCCATTGTTAAAACCGTGTTTATGGAAGACAATCTTACTCGGCTACGAGTGATCGCCAAAGAAGAAGTTATCTTCTTAGACATGATTGAGAATCGCATAGCCAGTGATGGAGAACTTTAAAGCATTAAGATCAGAATGTGGAAAATATGAAAACAACGAGAAGAGGCAGGAACGAAGATATTGGGATATATTCTTCAGAGGTCCAGACTATGGGGAGCATGGAAAAATTAATAGTTCACCATTTGGACTGTCATTTGGTTGTGTTTTTGTTTTTTGTTTCAGTTTATTGCTTTTAATTGGATTATGATGTGGATACAGTGGTACCTCGGGTTACATACGCTTCAGGTTACAGACTCCGCTAACCCAGAAATATTACCTCAAGTTAAGAACTTTGCTTCAGGATGAGAACAGAAATTGTACGGCAGCAGCGGGAGGCCCCATTAGCTAAAGTGGTGCTTCAGGTTAAGAACAGTTTCAGGTTAAGAACGGACCTCCGGAACGAATTAAGTTCTTAACCCAAGGTACCACTGTATGTTGATTGGCTGGTTTTATTGGAAAATCAATAAAAATGATTTAAAAAAGAAGAAGTTATCTTCTTCAATGGGGTTGTTCCGCGGCAGATCGCCACATCTTTACGTCTGTGCTACTGACTCTCAAACTTTGGGGTCGTTTATTTAATCAGTTTAATCAGTTGGGGTCACGCGATTCAGATCGGGTCTACTAGACCTAAAAAATGTAAGCAATGCTTCTGGGGCCCCTCCAGGATTAGAGGCAAGGAAGCTTAAATGTCACTAGTTTCAGATCCATCCTTGCCTCCAGGTGTCCTGGATTATAACTCCTGACACCCCTAGGCTGGAATCTGTGGTCCAAAGCACTAGGAAGACAGGTACTTGGGGAATACAGGTGTGGATGATCGAGGCACTCACGGGTTTCTGCTTCTTCTCTGCCTTGCGGGGAAGGATGGGAGGTCCGTGGGTCTGGGGAGTCAGCCGCAGTTCAGGAACTGCAAGAGAGAAAGGTGAGGATCAGCCCCAACTCCACTGGTTCTGAAAGCAGCTGTGGCCAACTGTACCATTGCAAGACCCCAGGTGGCTGCTTCAGGTAACGTTTGGCCGGGAAGATGGAGTCTTCCCCGCTTGTCACAGGATGGGAGGTGCAAAATGTCTGCTGCAATCTGAACTATTAACCAAACAATTTAACCCCCATGTTGACTACATATCTTTATGAGCACTGTTCCATAGCAATTGTTGTTATACTTTTCCATTCACCATATAGATGATAATAATAATAATAATAATAATAATAATAATAATAATAATAATAAATTTTATTTATACCCTCCCCAGCCAAAGCCGGCCTCAGGGCGGCTAACAACAATAAAATAGTACAACATTCTAAAATCATTCATTATAAATTAATTCAAATCAAATTGACGGCAACCATTGGGCTGGAGTTCTGTGAAGATTGCCAAAGGAGGGAGTCAGGTTGCGCCCTGGCCAAAGGCCTGGTGAAACAGCTCTGTCTTGCAGGCCCTGCGGAAAGATGTCAAGTCCCGCAGGGCCCTAGTCTCTTGGGACACAGCGTTCCACCAGATCGGAGCCAACGCCAAAAAAGCCCTGGCTCTGGTTGAGGCCAGCCTAACCTCTCTGTGGCCCGGGACCTCCAAGATGTTTTTGTTTGAAGATCATAAGGTCCTCCGTGGGACATACCAGGAGAGGCAGTCCCATAGGTACGAGGGTCCTAGGCCGCCTAGGGCTTTAAAGGTCAAAACCAGCACCTTGAACCTGATCCTGTACTCCACCGGGAGCCAGTGCAGCTGGTATAGTACCGGATGAATGTGATCTCGCAGCGAAGACCCCATAAAGAGTCTCGCCGCGGCATTCTGCACCCGCTGGAGTTTCTGGGTCAGTCTCAAGGGCAGCCCCACATAGAGCGAGTTACAATAATCCAGTCTGGAGGTGACCGCCGCGTGGATCACAGTGGCTAGGTCAGGGCGAGAGAGGTAAGGAGCCAACTGCTTAGCTTGGCGGAGATGAAACTGCTTAGCTTGGCGGAGATGGTTTATGAAGCATTTTGTATCCTTCTGCTGTGCTAAAGTTCTTCTTCCAGGAAACAGCGGGTCTATCCGGAATCACTGTTCACGTCTGTTTGCAAACTACTTCGGCAGTGTTGGACGCCATAAACAAAGCTTTACAGCCTGTTTTCACCAGATAAGAATCTAATACATTGCTTCTTTCAAAGACTTGCATAGTCTTCAAAGCCTTTACGAGACTTATAAGACTTACGTTTATTTGGTTTTATATTTCCAAGAGAACCCATTAAGAGTGCATATTTTGTGACTTTCAGAGATTCGTAAGTTTTCTGTTTATGTGATTTCATATATTTCATATTATATAAAGAGTGTATATTGATATCGTATCATTGTACTTTGTTATCTTGTTGCCTTGCAATCTGAACAATGCCTACTCAGAAGTAAGACCTGCTGAATTCAGCGGGGCTTCTTCCCAGGTACGTAAGGTTCAGTATGCAGCCTTACTTTATAGTCAGGGCTGTGGGTATATAATAATAATAATAATAATAATAATAATAATTTTATGATTTATATGCTGCCCATTGGGCTGGGTTTTCCCCAGCCACTCTGGAAGGCTCCCTACAAAATATCAAAAGCGCAATAAAACATCAACCATTAAAAACTTCCCTGTACACCATCTATCAGGTTTTGTGGGGTGAGTCTGGATGGTATCTGTGGGTCCCATCCAAGCCTGTGATCCTGCATCCACTGGGGTTCAGAATCCAAGAGAGGAGATTGCATTTATATGTATGTAGGTGGCTGCTGTATGCATGTCAGACAGGTTTCTTTTTAAGGTAATGGCCTAAAGCTGGCCAGTTAAGTACCACCATCTGCATGTCCAAAGAATGAGCTCTGTTGTTCTTAGTTCAAGTGGGTGGGCCTCAGGTTGCTGCAACTTCTCTTTCCAGCAAGGCAACCAGATTGCACTTGCTACAAGTGTACTGCTGCTATGTTCTCTGGCAGAATGACAAACACGGCACGGGTGTCACAGGCCCTGCAGCAGCTCCTTTGCCCTCTGTGTCTCTGGTCCTATTGCACACCAAGAGACTGAGCTCTGGGCCTCCCCCTTAAACTCCTCCACCAAATGCCCTGGCAAACGCCCCTGTTTGCGAGGTCTGTCCGCAAGCTCCCAGGATCTGCCCAGGAATGGAGGCAGCAGTATCAAAAGCAACACAATGGCCAGAAACAATAACAATGCGAAAAACTTTATGGAATAATTCAAAACATCAAAACTAACAAACTGAAGTCTCTGAAAGTCTCTAGTAAAGGTAAAGGGACCCCTGACCATTAGGTCCAGTCGTGACCGACTCTGGGGTTGCGGCGCTCATCTCGCTTTATTGGCCGAGGGAGCCGGCGTACAGCTTCTGGGTCATGTGGCCAGCATGACTGAGCCACTTCTGGCGAACCAGAGCAGCGCACGGAAACGCCGTTTACCTTCCCACCAGAGTGGTACCTATTTATCTACTTGCACTTTGATGTGCTTTCGAACTGCTAGGTTGGCAGGAGCAGGGACCGAGCAATGGGAGCTCACCCCGTCATGGGGATTCGAACCACCGACCTTCTGATCGGCAAGTCCTAGGCTCTGTGGTTTAACCCACAGCACCACAGCACCACCCGCGTCCCTTCTGAAAGTCTCTGAATGTCCTTAAACGAATCACGGGGCTAGACTTCACCCGGCAGAGAACAAGCTGTGAAGCTTTGTATAATCAGCAAATGTCCAATTCTGATGTCCAACTCTGAACTCTGCTGAACAGTGTTTCCGCATAACAGTGTTCCAGAGTATTTTCCATTATATCTATTCGAAAAAAGATTGGTTAACGAAGAAATTACATATCTTTCTACTTACAAGTGTTGAACTAATTGGCTGATGAAGAATTCAACGAAACAGTAGTTGTTATCTGGAAACACTGTTCAGCACAGGGGTTTGTTTGTTTACTCAAGAATGTAGGCAAGCAGTAAACAGGTAATAATATGTGGTTCTTAACAGCACAAAGGACTGACCCGCTTCTTGAATTAATTGATGGACTAATTGTATAGCCCCAGGGCAAAGTAAGCCTTTATTATTCTCCTTTGATATACCGTATTTTTCGCTCTATAAGACGCACCAGACCACAAGACGCACCTAGTTTTTGGAGGAGGAAAACAAGAAAAAAAAATATTCTGAATCTCAGAAGCCAGAACAGCAAGAGGGATCGCTGCGCAGTGAAAGCAGCAATCCCTCTTGCTGTTCTGGCTTCTGGGATAGCCGCACAGGCTGCATTCGCTCCATAAGACGCACACACATTTCCCCTTACTTTTTAGGAGGGAAAAAGTGAGTCTTATAGAGCAAAAAATACGGTATTTGTACTTACAGTTCTACCTGGTAAATCTGCCCTGAAAGGCAACTGTTTGAAATACGCAAGCGAGCCTGGAAGAGCATTCTGCTGTCATTGTGGTTTAATTATAATATTAACTAGGTGAGGAATCTGCCAGCTACCCTCAGCGGAAGGATGGAAAGAATTCCGGACTGGAGTTATTGTGTTTTTGCAGAGGAACTAGCATGTTGGGATATGGAGCGAGATGACAGAGGGGAATTTTGGATGTCTGCTAATGGAGTCTCCTTTTTTGTGATGTGACATATTATGGCTCCTGTGAGCAGAAACTGAAAATGGAATTGTCGGAGTGTGGATAACAACAGGGGAAAATATTTCATACAGAACAACGAAGGCGAAAGTTGAACAGACCAGTGGTTGCAGAAACAAATTATATATATATATATATATATATATATATATATATATATATATATGATTCTTTCAGTGACATAAAAGGTAACGGGACCCCTGACCATTAGGTCCAGTCGTGGACGATTCTGGGGTTGCGGCGCTCATCTCGCTCTATAGGCCGAGGGAGCCGGCGTTTGTCCACAGACAGCTTCCAGGTCATGTGGCCAGCATGACTAAGCTGCTTCTGATGAACCAGAGCAGCGCATCAAAACGCCGTTTACATTCTCGCCGGAGTGGTACCTATTTATCTACTTGCACTTGAGATGCTTTCGAACTGCTAGGTGGGCAGGAGCTGGGACTGAGCAATGGGAGCTCACTCCGTCGCGGGGATTCGAACCGCCAACCTTCTGATCAGCAAGTCCTAGGCCCTGTGGTTTTACCCACAGGGCCACCTGCATCCCTTTAGTGACATACTTAAGCTAAATTATGGTTTGGGACTGCTTTGTGGACACGTATTCCAAAGGCTTCATGGGGAAATAATACAATTCATGTAGCTCTTTTGAGGGCTAAGGTTACTGCACATCCATCGTCTTTGTGTAACTCTAGCCTCGAATATGTGTTCTACCAGTACACTTTGATTTCCTTCAATAGAATCAAACTCTCCCCCTGGAATGACAACTATCAAATATGTGAACACGAACCAGTGGATGACTTGATGAAAAAGGATAAATCCCTCCCCCGCCCCAAGGGAAGCCTTTATTATTCTCAGATTTCAGCTAATGGTCTGTTTCTGTACTGCAAAGCAGGTAGTGAAATGATCCCGAGTCATTTGTGGTTTTGCGTCTGTGGAAGACGGCTCAATTGAGGATTCATTGCCTTGTTTGATTGTGCTTTCTCTTGATCTATCAGGGAATACATCTGTTTTGATGCTTGATGTATTTAAATCATAGTTGCTGGTCAGATCTCCAAAACGGAACAAGTAGCTCTGTAACAAGCTCCTGCCAAAGGCTTTGAGGATATTATTTTGCCTCATGTTTTAGGTTAGTGGGGCCTGTCCACACTTCCTTTGGGTCCTGCACCATCTTAGAATTTGCATCGGGTCAGTAGCACCGGTCTAAAAGCTTTTATGTCTCAACGTAAAGCCGCTTTTTACCATTGTATCAGAAAAAAACAAAACTCTTAAAACCTGAACAGAAATTTATTCCCCTCCTGATCCAATCCGTTTTTGGGGTCTCCTGAATGAAAAAACACACACTTTCCCTCGTGGTGTATTGTGTGAGCCTGTCGTCTTTGAAGTCCATTGCTGTCCAGTTCTGGTTCTCAGCTCCAAGGTAATTTTTTTAAAAAATGTGTTCCCCTTTTGTGCTCATATAAGCCATTGTGATTCCCATTTGAGGAATACTCTCCCTAGGGAGGCTCGTCTGGTGCCTTCCTTATAGGTAAAAGGTAAAGGACTCCTGGATGGTTAAGTCCAGTCAAAGGCGACTATGGGGTTGCGGCGCTCATCTCGCTTTCAGGCCAAGGGAGCCGGCATTTGTCCACAGACAGCTTTCCGGGTCATGTGGCCAGCATGACTAAACAGCTTCTGGCGCAATGGGACACCGCCAGAGCGCACAGAAATGCCATTTACCTTCCCGCCACAGCAGTACCTATTTATCTACTTGCACTGGTGTGCTTTCGAACTGTTAGGTTGGCAGGAGCTGGGACAGAGCAATGGGAGCTCACTCCATCGTGGGGATTTGAACCACCGACCTTCTGTTTGGCAAGCCCAAGAGGCTCAGTGGTTTCGACCACAGCGCCACCCGCATCCCATAGCCTTCATTATACACTTTAAGTGCCCGGCGAAAACATTCCTCTTCAGCGAGGACTTTGGCTGATTAACATCCAATGCCCTTTTAAATTGTGTTTGTGGGAGTGGGGATCATTGGTTTGTTTTCATTCTTATTTTTATAATAATAATAATACTACAATTTATTATTTGTACCCCGCCCATCTGGCTGGGTCTCCCCAGCCACTCTGGGCGGCTTCCAACAAAGATTAAAAACGCATTGAAATGTCACACATTACAAACTTCCCTGAATAAGATGTCTTCTAAATGTCAGGTAGTTGTTTTTCTCTTTGACATCTGGTGGGAGGGCGTACCACAAGGCGGGTGCCACTACTGAGAAGGCCCTCTGCCTGGTTCCCTGTAACTTGGCTTCTCGCAGTGAGGGAACTCCCCAAAGGCCCTCGGTGCTGGACCTCAGTGTCCAGGCTGAACGATGGGGGTGGAGACACTCCTTCAGGTATACAGGACCGAGGCCGTTTAGGGCTTTAAAGGTCAGCACCAACACTTTGAATTGTGCTCAGAAATGTACTGGGAGCCAATGTAGGTCTTTCAAGACCAGTGTTATATGGTCTTGGCGGCCGCTCCCAGTCACCAGTCTAGCTGCCGCATTCTGGATTAGTTGCAGTTTCCGGGTCACCTTCAAAGGTAGCCTCACGTAGAGCGCATTGCAGTAGTCCAAACGGGAGATAACCAGAGCATGCACCACTCTGGTGAGACAGTCTGCGGACAGGGAGGGTCTCAGCCTGCGTACCAGATGGAGCTGGTAAACAGCTGCCCTGGACACAGAATTGACCTGCGCCTCCATGGACAGCTGTGAGTCCAAAATGACTCCCAGGCTGCGCACCTGGTCCTTCAGGAATTATAATTTGGGGGGGGGGGTTATCTTGTATCTTTACTTGTGAACTGCTCTGAGAGGTATGGATGAAGGTCAGTATACAAATAACAACAACAACGATAATGGTTTGCGTGCCCAAATGTTGGGTCTCCTGTTTCTTTGCATTTCCTTGGGAAGCTCGTACCTGATCTGGTGCTGAGGTGGGAGGCTTGGGCCACGACTGGAATAGCCTGGTGAGGAGCCCGTCCCGTCACAGGCCCACTGGAGCACCGTCCTCGGAGTATGGGCTTGAGGGAACACCTTGGCATGGATCGTTCCACCGCCGTCTCGTCCGGCGAGACCCGGAGCCTGGGCTGCCAAGGGGAAGAGAGAGGGCAGAGTTCAGCTAATGTCCATGCTCCTTCCTTCTTTCCCCACATAAACCATGCCTCTCTCAGCCAGCCAAGCCACTGCTCGCCCCGAGAGGGGGAAGAGGAGCTTTTGAACGGAGGGATCTCTCTGGATGCCAATAGCCTCAGGGCCTACCCTTCCTTTGTGTCAGGTGTGCGGGCAGGAGTCAGGCCCTGTGCCCAATAGGACTCTGCAGGATTGGGGCCTTCCTAAGTTTGTTCTGAAGAGGCAAGGCGCGGCCACACAAGTGAGGCCGATTGGCAACTCACTGCACCTGGTGGCAAGAGCCGGGAAGGGATATAAGGTCAGCATTTCACTTTGGCTCTTTGCCACAGCAACACGTTCCCTGCCTTGCTGCGTTTGGCTCCTTGACTCCTTGCTTCTTGATCCTCGGACCCCTGACTTCATGACTCCTTGCTTCCTGACCCTCAGACCCCTGACTTTGTGACTCCTTGCTTCCTGACCCTCGGACCCCTGACTTCATGACTCCTTGCTTCCTGACCCTCAGACCCCTGACTTTGTGACTCCTTGCTTCCTGACCCTCGGACCCCTGACTTCGTGACTCCTTGCTTCTTGATCCTCGGACCCCTGACTTTGGGACTCCTTGCTTCCTGACCCTCAGACCCCTGACTTTGGGACTCCTTGCTTCTTGATCCTCGGACCCCTGACTTTGGGACTCCTTGCTTCTTGATCCTCAGACCCCTGACTTTGGGACTCCTTGCTTCTTGATCCTCAGACCCCTGACTTCATGACTCCTTGCTTCCTGACCCTCGGACCCCTGACTTTGGGACTCCTTGCTTCTTGACCCTCGGACCCTTGACTTCGTGACTCCTTCCTTCCTGACCCTCGGATCCTTGGCTTCTTGACTCCCAGTTCGCTGACCCTCGGATTCTTGGCTTCCTGACTCCTGGCTTCTGGACTCTCGTTCCTGCTCCCACCCCGCCATCTTGCCCCCGGTCCCGACGTCCCCAGCCGGGACTTTGATCGCCCGTGAACTGGACTGTGACAATTTGCAAAGGACTTTGCTCTCCCAGTTGCTGGAAGCCACGGGAAGTGAGGCTCCTCTTGCATTCAGGTCCTGTTGCGGGTTTCTCCACTGGCACCTGCTTGATCACAGTGAGAGCAAGGTGCTGGACCAGGTGGGCCATTGGCCTAATCCAGCATCCTCCTCTTATATCCTCTGGACCTCAGCAGGGGCAGCCTTGGAAAGCTAGGGTGATGTTTGCGCAGAGCCGTCTTTCCCATAGGGCTTAGTGGTGCATCACGCCAGGGCGCCGGCCTCTCAGGGGTGCCCCAGCGAGTGGGGGAGCTGCGCATCTTTGCCGGCGGCCTCCCCTTTCCCTGCATGCCCGCCAGCTGTGCCTCGCCAGCTGTGGCGGGCGTGCAGCTTGCCTCCCAAGCCTCCGCAGGAGGAGAGCGATCCCCGCAGAAGCTTAGAATGGAAGCTGCGCCCCACCAACTATAATAATAATTATTATTTATACCCCACCCATCTGGCTGGGTTTCCCCAGCCACTCTGGGCAGCTTCCAACCGAATATTAAAAACAATACAGCGTCAGACATTAAAAACTTTCCTAAACAGGGCTGCCTTCAGTTGTCTTTTAGAAGTAAAATAGTTGTTTATTGTCTTGACATCCGCTGGGAGGGCGTTCCGCAGGGAAGGTGCCACTACCGAGAAGGCCCTCTGCCTGGTTTCCTGTAACTTCACTTCTTGCAGCGAGGAAACCGCCAGAAGGCCCTCAGCGCTGGACCTCAGTGTCCGGGCTGGATGATGGGGGTGGAGACGCTCCTTCAGGTATACTGGACCGAGGCCATTTAGGGCTTTAAAGGTCAGCACCAACACTTTGAATTGTGCTCGGAAACGTACTATATGGCTGGCGGATGTGCAGCTTGCTTCCCAAGCCTCCGTGGGAGGAGAGCGATCCCCGTAGAGGCTTGGGAAAAGGTCGACAACTCTGGAAAAGGGGGGTGGGGCGCCGGAGGGATCTTTGCACCACAGCACCGGCTATGCTTAAGACGGCTCTGTGTTTGCGTATGTCAACTGGGCATTTGGTTTTCTTCCAAGGAGTGGCAATGGGTAGAAGCAAATTTTTTTGGGGGGAGGGCACATTGTCTTGATCTAACACTGCCCACTTCCTTCTCAGAATAGAGCTCTGTGGTGGATTTTGCTTAACATGTGCAAGAAAGGAAAAAGGATCGCTCCTTTGGCTTAGTCCTGTGACTTACCTTGGGGGGCAGTGGAGGTGGGAGATTGACACCTGAGATGTCACTGAAAGAAAAAGGAAATAATAATTTATAATGAATTGGGGGGGGGGAGAGTTTAAAAGTACTTTTCCCAAAAAACAAAACAAAACAGAGTCCTTTTTACAAGTAAGTAGTCGTGTTGGTCTGCCGTAGTCAAAACAAAACAAAATAAATAAAATTAAATTTTAAAAAATCCTTCCAGTAGCACCTTAGAGACCAACTAAGTTAATTATTGGTATGAGCTTTCGTGTGCATGCACATTTCTTCAGAAATGTGGATACGCACACCTCAGGATCCGACCGGAGCTCTGGAACGGATCCTGTGTGCGACCTGAGGTACCACCATATTTTAAATTGGAATACAGAAAACTTAATAAAATTTACACACAAAAAAAAGAAGGAAGGGTCCATTTCAAGGGGGGGGGGTTGAGATTCTGCTGCCTGCTTTTATTCCCCTCCAACCCAGCCAAAGTTCTGCTAGCAAGATCCATCACTGCCATGAAATGTGCGAAGCCAAGGCAGGATCTCATCTCCAACAAGAAAGCAGCCAAACGGCTCACAGCTGAAGCTAGTGCTCCCTTTTCCTCCAAACTGTAAGTCACAAATATTTTATGGCATCGTAGCAATCCCACCAATGCCCACCCTGTATTTTAAAACGCATTGGGGGAATGAGTTACCTGCTTGCATCGTATCTGCTGGGTCTGGAAGACCAACATTAAGAGGTGCCCCCAAAAGGAAGGAAAACAGAGAGAAGAGTTAGAGGACGGGCTTGGGAGAGCAACAGCAACAAAGGGGTACTTTAAGGCATGGGTAGACAAACTAAGGCCCGGGGGCCGGATCCAGCCCAATCGCCTTCAAAATCCAGCCCGCGGGCGGTCCAGGAATCAGCGTGTTTTCGCATGAGTGGAATGTGTCCTTTTATTTAAAATGCATCTCTGGGTTATTTGTGGGGCCTGCCTGGTGTTTTAATAATAATAATAATAATAATAATAATAATAATAAATTTATTTATACCCCGCCCATCTGGCTGAGTTTCCCCAGCCACTCTGGCCGGCTCCCAATTGAGTGTTAAAAACAATACAGCATTAAATATTAAAAACTTCCCTGAACAGGGCTGCCTTCAGATGTCTTTTAAAGATAGGATAGCTGCTTATTTCCTTCACATCTGAAGGGAGGGCATTCCATGGGGCGGGCGCCACTACCAAGAAGGCCCTCTGCCTGGTTCCCTGTAACCTCGCTTCTCACAATGAGGGAACCGCCAGGAGGCCCTCGGCGCTGGATCTCAGTGTCCGGGCTGAATGATGGGAGTGGAGACGCTCCTTCAGGTATATAGGACCGAGGCCATTTTACATGAGTAGAATGTGTGCTTTTATATAAAATGCATCTCTGGGTTATTTGTGGGGCATAGGAATTCATTCTCCCCCCCCAAAAAAAAATAGTCCGGCCCTCCACAAGGTCTGAGGGAGAGTGGACTGGCTCCCTGCTGGAAAAGTTTGCTGACCCCTGGGTTATGGGTTTTGCTAATGGTAGGTTAAAGAAATGCTTGGAGCTCATCTATCCAACCCTTTGGGGAAGCATTTGCCTCAACCTCCTGGTTCCTAAACCCTGCTGGAACTTTTGCCAACCTGACGTGCTCCTAACGCTTTGTAATATAACTCCAAAACTGGTTGTACCCTCAAAGGGAGACAGAAAGACTCTGCCACTTACACATCCACGTCGTCGTAATCGTGGTCTGAGTCTGCCGAATCCTCCCTATAAAGGAAAGGGAAGCAAGATATAAGGCTGTAGAATGGGACTGGCTAGAGCGTGGTGGTCCTGCACGGCATAGCTCATAGCTTCTCTGAGTTATTCAAGCCCCTTCGCCACAGCAAGGCAGTGATCCAGCTGGATAAAAGGGTCTAGATCACGAGTGTCAGGGTCTCAGCCTCGTTTTTAAATGTATTTGCTTTTTTTTCGCATTTTTAGCTCTTCTAAATTATTTTTAGGTGGAAATCGCCTTGAGACGATGGTTTAGAAGGCAATTCATAAAGCAATGGTAATAATAATAATTGCAGTAGCACCCTTGTTGTTGTTGTTGTTTAGTTGTTTAGTCGTGTCCGCCTCTTCGTGACCCCCTGGACCAGAGCACGCCAGGCACTCCTCTCTTCCACTGCCTCCCGCAGTTTGGTCAAACTCATGCTGGTATCTTCGAGAACACTGTCCAGCCATCTCCTCCTCTGTCGTCCCCTTCTCCTTGTGCCTTCCATCTTTCCCAACATCAGGGTCTTTTCCAGGGAGTCTTCTCTTCTCATGAAGTGGCCAAAGTATTGGAGCCTCAGCTTCAGGATCTGTCCTTCCAGTGAGCACTCAGGGCTGATTTCCTTCAGAATGGAGAGGTCTGATCTTCTTGCAGTCCATGGGACTCTCAAGAGTCTCCTCCAGCACCATAATTCAAAAGCATCAATTCTTCGGCGATCAGCCTTCTTTATGGTCCAGCTCTCACTTCCATACATCACTACTGGGAATGAAGTGATCCCCCTTCATAGATCACTGCCTCCCCTTCATGGATCACTGCATTGCCGTGGTGAAGGGGCTTGAATAACTCAGAGAAGCTATGAGCTCTGCCGTGCAGGGCCACCCAAGATGGACAGGTCATAGTGGAGAGTTTTGACCAAACGTGATCCACCTGGAGCAGGAACCGGCAAGCCACTCCAGTATCCCTGCCAAGAAAACTCCATGGACAAAGACAACAGGAATATAAAAGTAGCACCCTTACCTACTGACAAATGCAGCGCCATAGAGGTGGCTGCCAGTACAATATCCAGAATCCGCAGAGATTTCCTGCAAACAGAAAGCAAAGACTGGAGGAACCGGTCTTCAAAGGAGGACCCACGATGGTGGCAGGGGTGGCAGCAGTGTTGATGTTTCAATATTTTTTGGAAGCTGCCCACAGTGACTGGGGCAACCTAGTCAGATGGGCAGCATATAAATAACATGACTAAACCCCTTCTGGCCCAACGGGACAACGTGATGGAAATCAGAGCGCATGGAAACACTGTTTACCTTCCCACCGCAATGGTACCTATTTATCTACTTGCACTGGGATGCTTTCGAACTGCTAGGTTGGCAGGAGCTGGGACAGAGCAACGGGAGCTCACCCCGTCACGGGGATTTGAACCGCCAACCTTCTGATCAGCAAGCCCAAGAGGTTCAGTGGTTTAGACCACAGCGCTTCCTGCAAGACAGCACTTATTTCCAGAGGTGGTTCACAAAGCTCAGCCACTGCCATTTGTGTCGAGCTCAGAAGCTCCTTTTCAAAGCGCTCTCCCAAATAGTGCTTGGAAGGTGTTTGCAGTGAGACTCACCCTTGGGTCACAGGAAGCTGCTTTCAAAGTGCTGGGCCGAACCACACTGCGAAGGGGGTTTTCATAGATCAAACCTAACAAACGTGACCAGCCAGGGGTGATGGAGAGATCAAATTCCCCAGTGTAAGCCCAGCCCCAGAAAGATAAATCCAGCAACCCTCTGGTAACCAGCGTTAGGGGATAAAATACAAAGCGGTTAAATAAAGCAGGCATAGGCAAACTGGGCCGTCCAGATGTTTTGGGACTACAACTCCCATCATCCCTAGCTCACAGGACCAGTGGTCAGGGATGATAGGAGTTGTAGTCCCAAAACATCTGGAGGGCAGAGTTTGCCTATGCCTGAAATAAAAGAACCATATCTTTTGGAGGAGCAAATGGGACAACAGCTGTGTATCAACTGGAACAGGGAGGGAGGGGTGAGGAGGTACCGTGAAGTTCGGGGACTCCGGACTCTGCCTGTTCCTGAGTGTTGGGCTGCAATCATGGGCTGCAATGAGATGAGAGGAAGGGAGTTATTGAGAAGGGTCACTCCGTGGTAGGTGGAGACAGAAAGTGGGGCGGAGCTTGCAGGAGGGCCGTCTGGAGAGGAGTGGGGGTGCAAGCCCAGCATGCAAAGGGGCAAGGAGAGAAGCAATGGGGCCCCTGTGCAGGAGCGCAGTGGGGCAGACATACCCCTGGAGTTGGTGCATCCCGGTGAGGTCACACCTTGCCGTTGGCTGGAGCGAATTCTTCGGGGCACTGGAGGTGGGGGTGTCTGTGGTCAAGAAAACAGATTGTATTGGGGAGGGGTTGTTAGTGTGTGTTTTCTGCTGTATAACCCCAAGAGCAGGGGTCATCACCTAGTGCCATTTTTGGCCTTGGGAGACATTGCCCTTTGCCAGTCCATCTTTGTTACCCATCTCAATGCTGGACGGCTTGCTATTGCACAACTGACTATTTCACACAGTTCACCCTTCCTGCATTAAGTGGCTTAACCGCGCAACACATTGTTCAGAAAACCAGTTTGCTTTCGGGACGCTTTTCCGCAGTTGCAAATAGAGATGTTTCGCTTCAGAACAGAAACCCTCAGCTGTTTGTTGCATCCATAATACAGACCGGTGTCAATTGGCTTTATAGCGAAACTGCAACATACATGTGGGGAAAACAGGGGTCTCATTCTGCAACCTCGTCCCATCCGCTCTCACCTCTTGCTCCTCTTCATCCGGCTCGCCTCTGCAGCTGGAAAGTTTGTCAGGGTTGCGCAGTTTCTCCAGGAGCTCGAGGGTCAGGCTGCGGCTGAGCCTTTCCTGGGAAACTAGCTGGTGCTGGTGAAAGGAAGGGGTGAGTTGGAGATAGCTGGAATCCATCCTTGGACAAGAGCCACGGCAGGTGGAGAGGGAGATAGCCATATTTACAGCTTCCGACATTATGCCGAAGAGGCAAGCCACTTAGGTGTCGCAAAGTACAGCTTGCCTCTTCCTCAGTGCAAGAGAAACTTGAAGACTGTACCTGGTGTGGTTATACCCACCCACCCACCTCCATGCACATTTAGAAGGCTTTTAAGCCACCTTCGACGTGTTGTTTTAGCGGGAAGCTGATTACAAAACCTACCCCTCCCTCATGAACGGAGAAGGGAGGGGAGGCGACTGGGATACTTACGGTCAGCATTTTGGAGGCAGTGGGACGCTTTTTCGGATTCTTGGTCAGCGTCACCTTGACAAAGTGGTGAAAGGCCTGACTCCTGTGGGGACAGGAGCACCCATGGTCAAGGAGAGTTTATGGCTGTAAGCTCCGACTTACGGCCCCTATTTACTCTATGCATTTAAAACATAGCTGTCAACTTACAGATTTGAAAATAAGGGACCAGCAACCTCGAAAATAAGGGATCAACAATTACTTTGATAAAATACATATTTTGTTGCATGCAAATGGCTTTAGATACCTATTAGGTCCATAAATTACCATATAGCATATATTCAACACACAAAAAACAGCAACAATTTGTTGTTGACAAAGGACAGCTGGACCTAGAAAGGGCCCCATTACCTTCAGTAGCTTATTTAAGGGACATCATCAATAAGGGACAGCAGCGGGACATGGCGCTGGGATAAGGGACTGTCCCGCCAAATAAGGGACGCTTGACAGCTATGATTTAAAGCAATGTCATACCACTTCCTGCAAAGAATTCTGGGAAGTGTAGTTTGTTAAGAGTGCTGAGAGTTGTTAAGGATTCCCTTTTCCCCTCAGGAGAGCTACAGTTCCCAGAACGGTTTGATAAGCAATCCCTTTCTTCAGGGAACACTGGGAATTGTAGCTTTCTGAGGAGAAGGTCTGTCTCTGCTGAAGGTCTGCCTAGCACCTTCCTTGCTTTCTTTTCAGTAAAGCATGGGTAGGCAAACTAAGGCCCAGGGGCCGGATCCTGCCCAATCGCCTTCTAAATCTGGCCCATGGACAGTCCAGGAATCAGCGTTTTTTTACATGAGTAGAATGTGTGCTTTTATTTAAAATGCATCTCTGGGTTATTTGTGGGGCGTAGGAATTCGTTCGTTTTTTCCCCTTCAAAATATAGTCCAGGCCCCCACAAGGCCTGAGAGACAGTGGACTGGCCCCCTGTTGAAAAAGTTTGCTGACCCCTGAGTAAAAGCTGGTCTGTTTTTCCCAGACTTCTGACAGACTAAGAATGTTGTTGTTGTTGTTTTTCACTAGTCCGCTGTCAAAGTTTCCTGCGACTGTTAAGGTATAATATATTGTTAAAGGCCTCCAGGTGCCAGAGTTTGTGGGTGCAAGCCACCTGTAATTCTCGGGAGTCAGGAAAAAATTAGAATGAATCAAGAGCTGACTAAACTACCAAGCATGGAAATCCCTGGGCTCTGCTTATGCTAACAAACCGTGGCTCATTAGGAGGACAAAAGAAGACGATGGCCCGTCATTAACCCATCAGTGAAAGCCTTCTCAGAGTGTGGAGTCCCCACCCTGAGTTCTGGGTAATTAGCGAAAGTGAATACCAGAAGGGGGAAGCTTCCAGAATTGCAGCGGGTGATGAGGTAAGCAAACAGGAAAAAAGTGTCCCTTTTGCAAGCTGAAAAGTGGCACAAGAAGGGCCAAGGTTGAATATACAGTGGTACCTCGGTTTAAGAACAGCACTGTTTACGAACTATTCGGTATATGAACTCCGCAAAACCGGAAGTACAGTGGCACCTCTGGTTGCAAAAGGGATCCATTCCGGAGGCCCGTTCGCAACATGGAAAGCCCGCAACCTGAAGCACCGTATCTGCGCGGAACAATTTGGCGCTTCTGTGCATGTGTGAGCGGCGAAACCCGGAAGTAACCCTTTCCGGTACTTCCGGGCCGCCGCGGGACACAACCTGAAAAAAGTAACATGAAGCAAACATAACATGAGGTATGACTGTAGTGTTCTGGTTAGTGATCTTTATCTCGGTCTACGAACAGAAGTTGAATGGTGGAAGGGCAGTGGTGGTGTGAGGCCTCATTACGGAAAGGACGCCTCAATTTAAGAACGGCTTTGGCTTAAGAACAGTCTTCCGGAACGGATTAAGTTCGTAAACCGAGGTACCACTGTATGTGTAAATAATACCATATATCATAAGGACACCACCGTCTCTGCTGTGCCTTCTTTTCAGAGGAAACACGGGCACCTGAAATCTCACACTACTGTGGGGATTGGGGTGGCGTGGAATATTCATATTTAGGCTTTCATTGTGCTGTAAGTCACTTGGAGACCTTTGGGTGACCAGCAGCTGATAAACTGAATAAATAATCTTAATCGTAACGCGGAACGTGCTGCACTCCTCAGGTCGTTCGCCCTCGCCGCAGTCCTGCAATTGTTGAGCATGTAATTGGACTTACCACTGGGCTTTGTCCTTGAGCTTGGGGGGCTGGTAGCCGCTTTTTGTCATCAGCACCAGGACCCTGTGAGGTGGGACAAGGAGATAAGCCTACCCTTCTCTGCTCATGAGCAGGCTTCTTGCCTCGTGCTTGCCTTCTTGAATTCTGCACCCACAAAAGCTGGGTTCTGTTGCTGGCATGAATTCCGCACGACCGCCCTTTGTTTTGCATAATTTATTCTGCTAGTCACAGGGAGAGGCAAGGACCTAGTTTGAAGCCCTGCCCATCCAACATTGTCAGACACCAATTCTTATTCAGCAGCATCACACACACACCCTGTTGTGTTCCGAAGGCGAGGAAGGATTGGACCCTGTTTAATAAATTACACACGAGGCTTGGCCAGCAAGACTCTGGGAGGAAGTGCAAATAATAATCTGTCACACCCCGGCCCAGGTCCCTTTTATTAACAAGAGAACTTTTAACACAGCGCTCATAAGAACCAATCAGATTTCCTCTGAGCATTTCAAAAACACCTACCACGTGGGTACCAAGTTAGATCAGAGAAATCCTTTTAACTACAAAGACTACATGCATACATATTTTAGGTTAATAAAACAGGAATCAAGGAGGAATGCATTTAGCAAACCCAGGATGTCATAGACAATGGCAATGGAAGATAGTATTTACCATCTCCTTGTGAACTCGTTTCCTGGCCCTTAAAAGGTAAAGGGACCCCTGACCGTTAGGTCCAGTCATGACCGACTCGGAGGTTGCGGTGCTCATCTCGCTTTATTGGCCAAGGGAGCCGGCGTACAGCTTCCGGATCATGTGGCCAGCATGACTAAGCTGCTTCTGGCAAACCAGAGCAGCGCACGGAAACGCCGTTCACCTTCCCGCCGGAGTGGTACCTATTTATCTACTTGCACTTTGACGTGCTTTCGAACTGCTAGGTTGGCAGGAGCAGGGACCGAGCAACGGGAGCTCACCCCGTCGTGGGATTCAAACCTCTGACCTCCTGATCAGCAAGTCCTAGGCTCTGTGGTTTAACTCACAGCGCCACCCCCTCCCTTTCCTAGCCCTTAAGATCTGCCTAAAGATTAACAAAATCTACATCAAAGCTACCTTCTATCCTTATGGCCCAGGATGCCTGGTGAAGCAACTGGTCTGTGTAAAATGCTATACGTGACTGTCAGGCAGAAAGAAAATGGCAGAGGCTTGTGGGATTCGATCAGAAATCATGTCAAATGGCTCAAGCCCAGTCCAAGCAATGCGTTCATTGCTGACACAATGGCTTGCTACATTTTTTTCATAATTCCTCATAGCAATCCCACCTGACCACCACACCCCCCAGGTTTTCGAGATCTCACTTCATGTTCAGACAACCCCCAATTAAATCATTGGCACCAAGGTGGTTGCCCTGCGCCACCTCCCCCAGCCCAGAGAGAGAAGGGAGGGGATATGCAACTCACCGCAGAGGGTGTACGTCAAACAGGGGGGGCTGAAGCTCCGCCAGCTCAATAGCGGTGATCCCCACGGACCAAACGTCACACAGTTCGTTGTACCCGCCCTTGAGTTCCACGGCCGCCACCTCTGGGGCCATCCTGGAACACATGCACAAGGAGGGACTCACCACAACTTCGATTAAAGGCCACCCGCCTTCCATTGCATGCCACCCGCAGCCCTCCCTGACCCGGTGCCCTCTAGGTGCTTTTGGGACTACAACTCCCATCGTCCCTTTAAGAAGGAAATTGACAAGCTGGAAGGTGTGCAGAGGAGGGAGACCAAGATGATCAAAGGTCTGGAAACCAAGCCTTATGAGGAATGGTTGAAGGAGCCGGGTATGTGTTGTGTACTAAGCTTGGACCCTAGAACAATAGGCAGTTAGGATCCTAGAATGCAACAACTGATTGGTTTGCAGGAGAAGACCAATCAGGCTCCAGGAGGAAGTTGATCAGCCAATCAGACGGGACTCATTGTGTAAATAATGTATATAAGGGGAGAGGAAAGGAATCACTGTTTTACAAGCTGAAATAAAGAGCATGAAATCACTGCAGGACTCCGAGTATATTTCAGTATGTTTAGTCTGGTAAAGAGGAGCCTGAGAGGTGATACGCCAGCCATCTTCAGCTATCTAAAGGGCTGTCACCTGGAAGAGGGAGCGTGCTTGTTTTCTCCTGCTCCAGAGGGCAGGACTCAAACCTGTGGATTCAAATTACCAAGAAGGAGGAGATTCCGACTAAACATCAGAAAGAACTTTCTGACAGTAACAGCCGTTCAACAGTGGAATGAACTCCGTCGGGGAGATTGTGGACTCTCCTTCCTTGGAGGTTTGTAAACAGAGGTTGGGTGGCCATCAGTCACGGATGCTTGAGTTGAGATTCCTGTATTGCAGGGGGTGCCTTCCAACTCTGCGATTGACCAGGACGTCTGGGATTGATGGAGGCTGTAGCCCAGGTTGAGAAATATGGATGCATCTTAAGAGGTAAAATTTTAATGCTATATTACATTAAGATTAAAGATTAGGATTAAAGAAGTCTAAGGAAATGGAAATTTGGTATTTAAGAGGTAAAATTTTGATGTTATATTACATTAAGATTAAAGATTAGGATTAAAGAAGTCTAAGGAAATGGAAATTTGGTATTTAAGAGGTAAAATTTTGATGTTATATTACATTAAGATTAAAGATTGGGATTAAAAAAGTGGAAAAGAAATTGCTGGACAAACAATTTGGACTGGAATACAAAAGAGGGAGGTATGAGGAAGTCCAGAAAATAAGTAAATTCAAAAATGGAATTGAAAAAGAGATATTGTTTTTAAATTGCTCTGTTTCTTTCTTTGCTTTTTGTTTTTTTGTGTGTGTTTTTCTTCTTTTTTTGGATTATGTATTGTGTATTTGTGTATTTTTTCCCCCATGTTTTTCTGTCTAACTTTTTATTGAAACCTTAATAAAAATCATTTATAAAAAAAAAAAAATAGAAATACGGATGCATCAACAGAGGGAAGCACTGGTGGGCTGGTTGAGGAATACTTCCCTCTCCCTGCAGCCCATTGCCTTCAAATCTACAGACACCACCCATTTTGAAAAGCCAGTTGGTGACACACACACCCCCGACACCCACCCCCACCAAACAGCTGGTCCTTTTTACCAGTAAGGGGTCCCTATGAAGGACATTCTCCGGGCAAAGGTGGCGCTGAGCTGAGCTGAGATTCCGAAATCCGCTGGAATGCAGGATGGAAGAAACAGAAATGGAAGAATGAGGACCAACTAATGTGGACAGTGCTCAAATTCTGGGGAAAGGTAACGTGGGTTTTAAGAAAACCCACAAGCACCACCTCCCAATCTCCTTCTGGTCATAAATAAATAACTTTAACTGATTTTAATATGTTAGGAGTCTGTCCCACTAAGTTTTACTCAGAGTAAACCCACTGCAATGTCTGGACCTGAGTGAGTCGTGGCAATTAATTTCAGCGGGTCTACTCTGAGTTGGAACAGTGTTGGAGATGCAACCCCTTTATTTTCATATTGTTATAGTACATTTAAAGCACCCCAGGAATCTTGGGAACTATAGTTTACCCCTCGCAGACCTACAATTCCCATCTCCTTTAACACACGACCCTGGCAAATTTAGATTTGACCCTGGGGCAGATCTGGTAATCTTAAAACACACGGTGAGACATACCCAGCTTGACTTCCCCGTGGTCGTTGAGGAGAACATTGGCTCCCTGAAATGTGAAGCGACAGAGGGGGAAATAATTTATTGATATCCCACCTTTTTCATCCAAAGAGCTTAAGGTGGGGGTAAATGGTTCTCTTCCCCCTCCTCATTTCACCCCCACAAGAACCCTGTGAGGTAGGTTAAGCTGAGAGTGAGTGACGCAACCCAAGGTCACCCACTGAGCTTCATAGCCTAGTGGGGTGATTTGAACCCAGGTCTCTCCCAGGTCCTGTTGTTGTTGTTGCTTAGTCTTTTAGTCGTGTCCGACTCTTCGTGACCCCCTGGACCAGAGCATGCCAGGCACTCCTGTCTTCCACTGCCTCCCGCCGTTTGGTCAAACTCACGCTGGTAGCTTCGAGAACACTGTCCAACCATCTCGTCCTCTGTCGTCCCCTTCTCCTTGTGCCCTCCATCTTTCCCAGCATCAGGGTCTTTTCCAGGGAGTCTTCTCTTCTCAAAGTATTGGAGCCTCAGCTCCCAGGTCCTAGCCTGACACTAACCACTGCACCACACTGCCTTTAGAGGCAGTCAGTTGAAGTAGGGTTCCACGCAGTGCTCTTCCCCACACTTTAAGGGTAGGAATTCCCCACATGTTAAGTTTTTTATTTCCCTAACAACCAGGTGAACTACAGCTTGCACATTTTATGACCTGGTTTTCCTTCCTATATCAGTGTTTCTCATTGTTCCACTGAGCTACCGTACTTCCTCTTCATGTCACTCTGTTCTACTTGTCAAACCCCCTTCACGTCCTCTCCCTTCTTTCCCTAGATCCTGTCCCCTTGTTTCCTTAGTACAGGCACCACCAAACTTGGCCCTCCAGATGTTTTGGGACTACAATTCCCATCATCCCTGACCACTGGTCCTGTTAGCTAGGGATGATGGGAGTTGTAGTCCCAAAACATCTGGAGGGCCAAGTTTGGCCATGCCTGCCTTAAGACCTTCCGACCGCCCCGCCCCCTCTGCAGCGTCACAGCAGCCCGGCCAATGACAGCCGGGGGCCTTTCTGCCTCTCCCGAGAGCCTCTCTGACATCACTGCCAGAGACCTGCCACGACTACCAGCCACTGTTGCTGCTTTTAAAAATCTGACTTTATCCATGTTCCGTCACCGTGGGGTTCATTTTGCAGTTAACGTTTACATGCTTTGAGAATGCAAATGGGAAGGTGGCGGTTCAGTAAACACAGCTGTGATGATTTAAAACAAGTGTGGCCATCCCAGGGCCACACTCACAGACCTTGCTTACAGTCCGTTTCACTTTCAGGAGGGAAACGGCGCCCTTTCTGTGTTCGAAGCAGCCTTCGCTGTCTCGCGTATTTCCCGGCAAGGAGTAAAAAACAAAAGCTGCAGTTGCTAAGAATCTTGCCCCATGAGCACTGCACAAATAAGTGTTTTGCTTTGCCTCGGCCCTGCCCCAAGTTCTGATCTGTTATTACCTTGATGTCTCTATGGATCTTCCCCTGGTTGTGAAGATAAGTCAGACCCTAGAGGGTGAAATTAAAGACCCACATTATGGAACCAGCCACTCTTATTGGCAGGGGCAATAGAACTTTGACTCATGAACCAGGAGACTCTCAGGGGCCCCTCCAAGCTGTCCATAGTTTCTGAAGCACACAGTACACCATGGTTTGCCAACCTTTTTGGACCAGTCAATACTCCTGGTTTTTCAGAAAGGCCCTATCTGCCCCATACATTCAAAGCAGCACCATACCTCTCTCGCCCTGACCTCGCCACTGTGATCCACGCAGCGGTCACCTCCAGACTTGATTATTGTAACTCGCTCTACGTGGGGCTGCCCTTGAGACTGACCCAGAAACTCCAGCGGGTGCAGAATGCCGCGGCAAGACTCTTTATGGGGTCCTCGCCGCGGGATCACGTTCGCCCGGTGCTATACCAGCTGCACTGGCTTCCAGTGGAGTACAGGATCAGGTTCAAGGTGCTGGTTTTAACCAGCCCTATAAGGCCTAGGACCCTCGTACCTACGGGACCGCCTCTCCTGGTATGTCCCACGGAGGACCTTACGGTCTTCAAACAAAAACACCTTGGAGGTCCCGGGCCACAGGGAGGTTAGGCTGGCCTCAACCAGAGCAAGGGCTTTTTCGGCTGTGGCTCCAATCTGGTGGAACGCTCTGTCACAAGAGGCTAGGGCCCTGAGGGACTTGACATCTTTCCGCAGGGCCTGCAAGACAGAGCTGTTTCACCAGGCCTTTGGTCAAGGCGCAGTCTGACCCCCTCCTTTGGTAACCCTCATAGCACTCTAGACCAATGGTTGCTATGAATTTGATTTTGAATTGGTTTTAAAACGAATTGATTTTAGAATGCTGTGTTACTTTTATTGTTGTTAGCCACTCTGAGCCCAGCTTCGGCTGGGGAGAGGGGGATATAAATAAAAAAAATATTATTATTATTTATTAAACACTGATGAAACAGCTAAGAATGGTTAGGAGACTCTTATTCTCCCTATGGAGGCACAGCTCCCAAGCGTTCCCTGACTGTTAAACCACTCAGGAGTCACTGAGAGAAGAAGACATTGAGGCAGTTTAAAGTGGTGTGATACTGCTTAAAAGCAAGTGGGGGACAAAGTGCCGTGGGCACCAGCCACAATATGGCTGCCAAGGGGGCGTGGCCTAAGACCCACCCGTACGTTCATACTCACTTGCAGTGTTTCTCGGCACACGTAGGCAATCTGCGGCTCTGTCAGGGGCCCGGTGACTGCAAAAGGAAGGGGAGATGGTGAGCGCCATCTTTAATCCCGAAGTGGAGGACCGAAACCATAGAGCTGTTGACATTCCGAAAGACCAGAGGAGGCTCCGCGGTCATTGAGATGCTTTGCCAATCCCTGGCATGTCTCCTCAGGCATTTCCCCCGTCTTCAAAGTTCAGGGCAGGAGAAGATCAGAGCAATGAGCAAAGGTGATAATAAGCGCAGCTGGGGTCGCTTCTGTCGTGAGCATCACGCAGGCGGCGTTGGAGGGAATGGGGCGGGCACCCCTCATTGCTAGACCCCCGTGGTTACTCAAAGGAAAGGCGTTTCTTCACACACACAAAATCACAATTGAATCACGAACCGGAAATTAAGATAATGATGCAACGCTAAACACGCCTGGCTGAAAGTCAGAATCGAACCAATATGAGAAAATACAGGAATGTTGGGAGCTGCGTTATACGCAACTAGCTCAGTAGTCTTTTTGTCTGTCCTTGAGTCCTGTCAGGGGGGAAAGGTGGGGTATAAATAAATAATCAATTATAATTGTGTCTACATTTGACCAGCAGTGACTCTCAATGATTTTGCACAGGGAGTCACTTCCAGCCTTACCTCTGGAGATGTTGCCAAGGATTAAACCTGGAACGTTCTGCATGTAGTGGCGCCCGCCCTGTGGAACGCCCTCCCATCAGATGTCGAGGAAATAAGCAACTATCTTACTTTTAAAAGACATCTGAAGGCAGCCCTGTTTAGGGAAGTTTTTAAGGTTTGATTGAAATATACTCGGAGTCGAGAGTGGATTTCATGCTCTTTATTCAGCTCATAGTGGTGAGGAGGAATGGAAGTTCCCCCAGAATGTCTGCTTTATATACATTATTTACACAATGGGCCCCACGTGATTGGCTAATTCCGGGATTCTCCTGTAGGCCAATCAGGTTGTGGATTCACTTCCACCTGGAGTTGGATTGGGTGGCTCCTGTGGACCAATCAGACTGCTGCATTCTGGACCCTATTGTTCTAGGACCAATCAGACTGCTGCATTCTGAATCCTATTGTTCTAGGATCAATCAGACTGCTGCATTCTGAATCCTATTGTTCTAGGACCAATCAGACTGCTGCATTCTGAATCCTATTCAACTCAGTACATAACATTAATGCTGTACTGTGTTTTTAATATTTGGTTGGGAGCTGCCCAGAGTGGCTGGGGAAACCCAGCCAGTTGGGTGGGGTATAAATAATAATAATAATAATATGATGATGATGATGATGATGCAGAGCAGATGATCTACCATTGAGCTGCGGCTCTCCCCAGAGGAATTTATGCTGGGAACCTTAATGCTATCTATACCATTATTTAGCTATCAGACATTTAACATGCAGGGGGGGAAAACACCCCCTCTGCAAAATTCACTTTGCCTCTTCTGCAGCCCAACCCTTTGTTTTTTGTTTGTTTCGGGTGCCACCAGCGTGCAGAAACCCATTTCTTTCTTTCTTCAGATCCCCTCACCACTTTTGCTGCAAAGCCCAGCCCAGTCCCAGAGGTGCACAAAGCAACTGCCCAGGTGCCGAAATCTGAATGCCTTGGGGTCAGGGCTGCTGCCTGCCCCCTTTGCAGAAGATGCACAGAGATAAGAAGAAGAAGAAGAAGAAGAAGAAGAAGAAGAAGAAGAAGAAGAAGAAGAAGAATTTATTATTTATACCCCGCCCATCTGGCTGGGCCTCCCCAGCCACTCTGGGCGGCTTCCATAGAAACCAAAAATACAGTAAAATATCACACGTTTAAAACTTCCCTAAACAGGGCTGCCTTAAGATGTCTTCTGAATGTCAGGTAGTTGTTTATCGCTTTGACATCTGCTGGAAGGGCGTTCCACAGGGCGGGCGCCACTACTGAGAAGGCCCTCTGCCTGGTTCCCTGTAGCTTTGCTTCTCTCAATGACGGAACTGCCAGAAGGCCCTCGGCGCTGGACCTCAGTGGCCGGGCAGAACGATGGAGGTGGAGACGCTCCTTCAGGTATACTGGACCGAGGCCGTTTAGGGCTTTAAAGGTCAACACCAACACTTTGAATTGTGCTCGGAAACGTACTGGGAGCCAATGTAGGTCTTTCAAGACCGGTGTTATATGGTCTCGGCGGCCGCCCCCAGTCACCAGTCTAGCTGCCGCATTCTGGATTAGTTGTAGTTTCCGAGTCACCTTCAAAGGTAGCCCCACGTAGAGCGCATTGCAGTAGTCCAAGCGGGAGATAACCAGAGCATGCACCACTCTGGCGAGACAGTCTGCGGGCAGGGAGGGTCTCAGCCTACGTACCAGATGGAGCTGGTAAACAGCTGCCCTGGACACAGATTTGACCTGTGCCTCCATGGACAGCTGTGAGTCCAAAATGACTCCCAGGCTGCGCACCTGGTCCTTCAGGGCACAGTTACCCCATTCAGGACCAGGGAATCCTCCACACCTGCCCGCCTCCTGTCCCCCAAAAACAGTACTTCTGTCTTGTCAGGATTCAGCCTCAATCTGTTAGCCGCCATCCATCCTCCAACCGCCTCCAGACACTCACACAGGACCTTCACCGCCTTCACTGGTTCTGATTTAAAAGAGAGATAGAGCTGGGTATCATCCGCATACTGAGATGGCTTATCCGCTCATGGGCGGAGCCGAGAGCCCCAATGTGAGGAGCCTCAGTCAATATAATCTTTTGATCTCTCCGCCAGCAACCCAGGAGGACACTTGCGAGGGGGAGAGGAAGTCAAGAGGTGACAGCTGTTGAAAGCAAGAGTGTGAATTGGAAGCGCTGTGGTTGGCTTTTGATTGTCTAATGTGCTGCTATGATTGTGCTGTGCCTACTGAGCTAAAACGCAAAGGGGGGGAAGGGAGACGAACATCTCAAATTGCCAAGGACCAAACCCACCCACCACAACACATATTAGGGAGAAAACAAGAAAACGCCTAAGAGTTAAACTAGAGGTTCACAAAGTGGGTGGTATTGCCCCCCTGGGGGGCGCTAAGAGGCAAGAGGGCAGCAGGAGGGCAATAGAGATGTAAAAAGGACTATCTGGTATCGCTGCACGGCGTTCTTTAATTTTGTTGGATCAATTAAACTGAATGCTTCTAATTGTATTCCGAACAAATGTGCAATGAACTGTTAGTGTTTCGAATTTTATTGCATTGTTATATCCCTTAGCGGGTTGTGAGGACTTTCAGCCTCAGCCTTCCTTTTAAAACAGACATTTAAGTTTCTAGTCCTTAAGGCAATGCCTGGGTAATGTATCAGAAGCTGTATTTGAGAGAGGGGTAGGGAGAGCAGGTGATCAGGGAGTATTGAGTTGTGTACATACGCTCCCAGTACATTTCCGAGCACAATTCAAAGTGTTGGTGTTGACCTTTAAAGCCCTAAACGGCCTTGGCCCAGTATACCTGCAGGTATACCTGAATGTCTCGACCCCCATCATTCTGCCCAGACGCTGAGGTCCAGCGCCGAGGGCCTTCTGGCGGTTCCCTCACTGCGAGAAGCAAAGCTACAGGGAACCAGGCAGAGGGCCTTCTCGGCAGTGGCACCCGCTCTGTGGAACGCCCTCCCACCAGATGTCAAAGAGATAAACAACTACCTGACATTTAAAAGACGTCTGAAGACAGCCCTGTTCAGGGAAATTTTTAATGTGTGACATTTTAATGTATTTTTAATCTTTGTTGGAAGCCGCCCAGAGTGGCTGGGGAAACCCAGCCAGATGGACGGGGTACAAATGATAAATTTATTATTATTATTATTATTATTATTATTATTATTATACATAGGTAAGGTAAAAGGACCCCTGACCACTAGGTCCAGTCGTGACCGACTCTGGGGTTGCAGCGCTCATCTCGCTTTATTGGCCAAGGGAGCCGGCGTACAGCTTCCGGGTCATGTGGCCAGCATGACTAAGCCACTTCTGGCGAACCAGAGCAGCGCACAGAAACGCCGTTTACCTTCCTGCCGGAGCGGTAACTATTTGTCTACTTGCACGCTGACGTGCTTTCGAACTGCTAGGTTGGCAGGAGCAGGGACCGAGCAATGGGAGCTCAACCTGTTGCGGGGATTTGAACCGCCGACCTTCTGATCGGCAAGTCCTAGGCTCTACCCGCTTCCCACAGCACTACCCGCTTCCCATTATTATACATACCATACATTTAAAGTGCATTCCCACCCACCCCAAAAAGCAAAAGGAATCCTGGGAGCTGCGTTTTACCCCTTCCCACAACTCCAATTCCTAGCGCCCTTAACAGACAATTCCCAATATTATTGTGTGTTTGGGTGCTTTAAGTGTGTGGTTTGCGCACAGCCATAGCGTCTTTTGCCCGTCCTCGTGAGTAACGGAAGCAGACTCAAGGATGCAAAGCAATATAAGCGGAATCGGGGGGGGTGCGCTTGGAAGGGTGCCCATTCTTCCTTAGAGACAGGTGCCGTTTCAAACGGTACAGAGAGTGAATTGACCACACTCAGTTTCACTTCTGCAGTTCAGGACGGAGGCGGCTTGGTATCACGTCTTACTCCCTGCCTGCCCCATCTCCCCTCGCAAGGAGGATGTGCATGCAAGAATACAGAACTGGGAGGGCAGTGGGTGGTGGGGGCAGTACTTAACCTAACAGGGTCACTGTTTTTGTCCTGGCAGTATTGTCAAGAGATCCACAGGGTCAAAAGAGACAGGGTGTGGGAGATCTGGGACGGGACCTCTCTGCCGCCCCTCAGCTACCTCCCGCAGCTGCTTCCGAATGCAAATCTTTGGTGATCTGCTCAGAAAATGGGAACCTGCCTTGTGCGAATTCAATCTTCCGCACTGACTTGCAATGGCTGTCGAGAGCAAGGGTTTAAAAGTTTGCATTTCAAGGGAGGATCTATTCCTTATTCATACTTTCAGAATCAGTATGTTTACCGAAATACAACCATACTCTGAAATTTGCACTTACTTGAATTTTGCAAGGTAGTTCTCCAGCCAGCCAAAATGCAAATATTGGAGGAAGGTGTACATAAAAATCAGTACGTCCGTGAAGATAACACACACAAAAATGCATTATATGGGGGGAAAGTGCTTGCAAAAACGTGTAAAATCAAAACTGCATACATAGGAGCTGTTTGCACCCAAACGCTGCTGAATTTTCATGAGGATTAAAATAATAATTCGCCAATTGTGACGGGAATCTAGAGAAATGAATTTAAGAAAATGGGAAACAAAGAAAGACTAAATGGACACATCCTCCCATCCCTACTTCAGGGGTTAAAGACACAGATATTTCCCAGCCCTGCCCAGAGAGGCTAGGTCTGAACCTGGGTCCTTCTGCTTTGTCACTAGGTGTGCTGGTCCCGTGACTTAACCAAGAGGCAAGGTCTGAGTCCAGTCTGAGGTGCAGTATGGAGGCAGTCCGTAAAAGCTGAAGCTGGGAGCAGGGCAGGGAGTCGGGTGAGGTCAGGAGCTCCGGCAGGAAAGCAGGACAGGGTTCAGGCAGGAACTGGCAACCTACAATGTTGCTCCCGCAACTTGGGACTGGGACTGGCTGGCTTTTATCTGCCCCAAGGCATAGGGTGGCCCCGGCCCACAGGTGACTCGCCTCTCCTGGCCTGGAGGCGAGCACTCCTCCTGCGGGAACTTAGTTCCCTCCGCCTCTCTGCCCTGAGCCTCTGCAGCTCAGGAGAGGCTGGAGGGTTACCGGACCCAGAGGCAACCTCAGCTTCCCCTGATGGGGCTGAGAGTGGAGCACCAGCAGGCAATGGGTCCTCCATCACCTCAGGAGCCAAAGCAGACTCAGCTGGTGCCTGCACCTGAGGATCCAGCACAGGTGAGGACCCTTCAGGCTCATGCCCCAGCCCCGGCTCAGCTGGTTCTGGATGCGGGGAATCCTGTGCAGGCTGGGATTCCTCAGGTTCACCCTCCGAATCCCAAGCCATCACACTAGGTATCAGGAGCAGGTAAGCAAAAACTCACAAGGTGTCAATGAAGTTAACACTTTATTCAAAGAAACAAACAGCTCAGGCCTAGTGAGCACAGTAACTCTTCCCAAAAGATTTTGCCCTGATGAGGCAGTTATGGGGAATGAAGGCCCCACTTTCCACAGTTCACTAAGTCTCCTCCTCCCCTTGTTCCTTCCCAAGCAATTTGAGGTTCCTTTGTCTTGCCAGCCTTTGCTCCACCCTCTTCATGCCTCTTCTGGTCCTGAGAGACCAGGGAGCTGGCTGCAGAAGGAGAGGGAAACTCCCTGGCTTCCTCACCAGCCTGCCTCATCTCTGCTTCTTGCCCCCCCCCTCCTCTCCAGCCTCCTCTCCTGTCCCTGATTCTGGACTGCTCTCTGCCACAGACTCTCCCAGCTCACTAAATCCTGTTGCCTCTTTCGCTTCCGGCACATCCTCCTCCCAGTCTTCTCTCTCCTTGTTGGCCCAACACCAATCCCCTGGCCCTGAGCCTTCTTCCCTTGGGGGCTTCCCAGCTGGTACCACTCCTCTGCCTCCAGCCAGTCCATGACACCAGGGATGAGGGAGTCTGTCAGTTTCAGTTTCTTTCCGTGTCTCATTTTTTCCAACCTTAAGTTCCAACTTTCACATTTCCACATCAGTTTGCAATTTTCCTTGCAAGTCTTTGTGAAAATTCAACAGCATTTTAGTGCAAATTTCTCCTAGTATACACATGCTTCTTTGCAAAGTGGTTTCCCCTAATATATTGCATTTTTATGTTATTTCCAGCAGCAAATGCATTTTGTGAACATTTTGCCCTATGTGTTCTTGTACACATCTGTGGGTGGAGAGCTGCACTGTAAATTTCGGGAAAGTGCAAATTTTGAAGCGTGGCTGTGTTTCTATTCGCCTATTCCCCCCCCCCGAAAGTATAAAATAGAATAGTCATATAAAAGTGCAGCCATTGAGAGGACACAACTTAAACTAGTTGTAGAACAACCTATAGCAAGGAAGGGGGAACCTGTGGCCCTTCTGGTGTTGTTAGACTACAACTCCCTGTCAGGAGCTTGTCCTACACTCGAGTAGGACCCTGGCAGAGACACATGCCCGACTGGCATGTTCTCTCCCTCCCGGTCGATCGTTCGGGAGCTTCAAAAGCTTTTTTTCAGCCTGAACATCACAGCGACCGATGCCAACCGACATCGGCACACTTAGGGATCCGCAGAGTCTTCACAGCTTGCGTAACAGACCTCAGCAACTCAGCATTTTGGCTAATCTACTTTATTTACATATAAACACACACGGAGCACTGCAACATGGCTCCCTCTCTCTCTAGCATCAGACAGCAAAGAGAAAAAACAAAGGACAATAGTCCCACTTCACGGAACATAGTAACACAAACATCCTGTCTCCATCACATCCCACTCTGTGGGGTCAAAATATACACCGTCATGTGAAAGACAACAATCCCATGACTGCAATCATGGAGCAGGAATTCTAACACTCCTATCATCCCTGCCCATTGGCCATGCTGTTTGAAGCTGATGGGAGTTGGAGTCCAACAATGTACGGAGAGCCGCGGGTCCCCCTTCTCTGGCCTAGAGGAAATGCTTGTTTTCCCCTGCTTTTGGGGGTAGGGCTTGAGGCAATGGCTTCAAGTTGCAAGAAAGGAGATTCCGACTAAACATTTGGGAAAACTTTCTGACAGTAAGAGCTGTTCGGCAGTGGAAGAGACTGCCATGAGAGGTGATGGACTCTCCTTCCTTGGAGGTTTTTAAGCAGAGGTTGGACGGCCATCTGTTAGGGATGCCTTAGCTGAGATTCCTGCATTGGACTAGATTCCTGGGTTGGACTAGAGGACCCAGGAGCCCCTTTCAACGCTAAGATTCTACAATTCTATGAAATATCTGCTCTCACATCCGTAACAATATTTTTTGTTAATATGTTGTTAATATGGGGGCAGGTAGGAAGGCTCCATGATCACTGCAGATGGTGACAGCAGTCACAAAATTAAAAGACGCCTGCTTCCTGGGAGAAAAGCAATGACAAACCTAGACAGCATCTTAAAAAGCAGAGACATCACCTTGCCGACAAAGGTCCGTATGGTTAAAGCTATGGTTTTCCCAGTAGTGATGTATGGAAGTGAGAGCTGGACCATAAAGAAGGCTGATCGCCGAAGAATTGGTGCTTTTGAATTCTGGTGCTGGAGGAGACTCTTGAGAGTCCCATGGACTGCAAGAAGATCAAACCTATCCATTCTGAAGGAAATCAGCCCTGAGTGCTCACTGGAAGGACAGATCCTGAAGCTGAGACTCCAATACTTTGGCCACCTCATGAGAGGAGAAGACTCCCTGGAAAAGACCCTGATGTTGGGAAAGATGGAGGGCACAAGGAGAAGGGGACGACAGAGGACGAGATGGTTGGACAGTGTTCTCGAAGCTACCAGCATGAGTTTGACCAAACTGCAGGAGGCAGTGGAAGACAGGAGTGCCTGGCGTGCTCTGGTCCATGGAGTCACGAGGAGTCAGACATGACTAAACAACTAAACAACAACAACAACAACAGGAAGGCCTAAATGCCCAATTCCCTCTGGCCACTGGTGGGGCAGGGAATCAGTGTTACCTTGGTAGACATCTTGAAGAGAGCCTCCCCCACAGAACTCCATGCAGATCCACAACTTGTTGAACCTAGTAAGAAAGCAGAGATGGAAAGGTTTGTCATTGAGTGTGAAATGAGGGACAGAGGGGAGGACTGGGATAGGGATCAGGGCCATCTCAACTGCACCTCAGCAGTCTTGAAGCTGTCTCCCCCACAGCGCACACACACACACACACACACACACACACAAACACACAGCTTTCACCATCCTGGTACCACCGTAAAAGCATAAGAAGAACTCTGCTAGATCAGGCTAAAGAACTATCTACCTGTGATGGCCTGAGAATCTGATTCAGAAGCTGAATCTGAGGAGTCCCAGCCTGCACAGGAGTCCCTGCCTCCAGGGCTGGCTGAGCCGGGGCAGGGGCTTGAATCTGAAGGGTCTGCACCTGTGCCAGATCCTCAGGAGCAGACACCAGATGTATCCACTCTGGCTCCGGAGGTGATTGAGGACCCATTGCCTGCATGTGCGCCTCTCCCAGCCCTGTCAGGGGAAGGTGAAGCTGCCCCTGGGTCCAGTAACCCTCCAGCCTCTCCTGAGCTGCAGAGGCTCAGGGCAGAGAGGCAGAGGGAACTGGGTTCTCTCAGAAGGAGTGCTCGCCTTAAGGCCAGAAAAGGCGGGTCACCTGTGGGCCGGGGCCGCCCCTGGCCTCAGAGGAAATAAAGGCCAGTCAGCCCAGTCCCAGGTTGTGGAAGCAACGACGTTGGAAACCTGTTTCTGCCAGCACCCAGACCTGTTTCTCCAGAGTTCCTGTCCACACCCGGCTTCTTGCTTTGGACCCCGCTTCCTCCTTGGTGGACAGTCTCCAGACCCTCGGCCCAGGACTGGACTTTGACCATGCCTCACGGTAACCCCCCCCCCAGGACCAGCACACTCCCCCAGCTTCCTGTTCTCCCAGTGGCCAACCAGATGACTCTATGGGATGTCCACAAGGTACGTAAAAAGGTAAAGGACCCCTGGACGGTTACATCCAGTCAAAGGCAACTATGGGGTTGCGGCGCTCATCCAGCTTTCAGGCCAAGGGAGCCGGCGTTTGTCCGCAGACAGCTTTCCGGGTCATGTAGCCAGCAGGACTAAACCACTTCTGGCACAACGGGACACCATGACAGAAACCAGAGCGCACAGAAACGCTGCTTACTTTCCCGCTGCAGCGGTACCTATTTATCTACTTGCACTGGTGTGCTTTCGAACAGCTAGGTTGGCAGGAGCTGGGACAGAGCAACGGGAGCTCACCCCTTCAAACCGCTGACCTTCAGATCAGCAAGCCCAAGAGGCTCAGTGGTTTAGACCACAGCGCCACCTGTGTCCCTTGTCCACAAGGAGGACCTGAGGGCAGCAACACACTCCCCACTTGTGACTGCTGGTTAAAGGTTTTCAGAGGTGGGCCACCCCTGATCGTGGTGGCAGGTAAAGGACCCCTGGACTGTTAAGTCCAGTCAAAGGCAACTATGGGATGGCGGTGCTATCAGGGCCAGTAGCCATTGACAGCCCCCTTCTCCAAGAAGATAACGCTTAGAGCAAGCTTCCTCAGCTTCGGCCTTCCAGATGTTTTTGGCCTACAACTCCCATGATCCCTAGCTAGCAGGACCAGTGGTCAGGGATGATGGGAATTGTAGTCTCAAACCATCTGGTGGGCCGAGGTTGGGGAAGCCTGCCTTAGAAGAATGAAATGACATTGGCTGGGCCTGGCTGGGGCTCTTGGCGGACCTTTCCCAACCATAAGGGCAGGGGGTTTTCTCACCGTATGTAGCTCCCATAATAGGCTACGATGTTGTGATGGCTGCAGGTCTTCACCATCAGAATCTCTTGCTGGATAGTGGCACAGTCATCATCTGGAAAGTAGGGCATTTAAAATGTTTAGTAAATTCAAGAAGTGCTTTTAGGGCCAAACTAGGCTCTGTAAAAGGTAACCTACAGTTGTAAAAATAAAATAAAATTTTAAAATGGAGGGTTGTTTCCCCCCCCCCCTTTTATTTATTTTCTCTTTCAATAGTCTTTATTGAAAGAGGCATGATGGAGAACAGCAACAACTGGGAAAAGATAGACATAACATTTTACAAGGACACCACGGAGAGAAGAACAAGGATACAATTTGAGTGCCTTACTTGTACTTCTATACATCATTTGATGTGTCGACACGAATAGAAGTTACTCATATTGCCGTTGTTGTATAAGGGATTATTGTGACTGGAATGTAATTGAAATTACCGTATTTTTCGCCCTATAGGACGCACTTTTTCCCCTCCAAAAATGAAGGGGAAATCTGGGTGCGTCCTATGGGGCGAATGCAGGCTTTCGCTGAAGCCTGGAGAGCGAGAGGCGTCGGTGCGCACCGACCCCTCTCACTCTCCAGGCTTCAGGAAGACATCCGCAGCCTAGGCAGCCCTGCGGGAGGTCCCGCAGGGCTGTCTAGGCTGCGGACAGCAGCCTGCTTCCCGGAGTGTCGGGCGCCCTGAAAGCAGAGCGCCCGGTGCTTCGGGAACACATCCGCAGCCTAGGCAGCCCTGCGGGAGGTCCCCGCAGGGCTCCCCACGCTGCAGATAGCAGTCTGCCGCGCGCCGGACAGACATCCGCAGCGTGGGGAGCCCTGCAGGAGTTCCCCGCGGGGCTCCCCACGCTGCGGATAGCAGTCTGCCGCCCGGCGGGCGGGGCGCCCTGAAGCAGAGCGCCCCGCGCACCGGACAGACATCGGCCAGCCCCACAAGCTCGGGGGACAGCAGGGAGGCGCAGCGCTGCTATCCCGCTGTTCCTCGACCTTGTTCGGTTTCCCCGACCTGCTTTTGGGGGGGAAATAAAGGGGGAAATTTTTTCCTTTATTTCCCCCCCAAAAAACTATGGGACGGAGCGTCCTATGGGACGAAAAATACGGTAATAAGATTTTGGAATGCAGAAATAAAGAAAATCATCAAACCAGCAATTCTAGCACGTGGGGAGGCCACCTAAATTATATAATTTAGTATTCGAACGATGGGTATTATAATTTGGTATTGTATAATGAGGCTATCATTGGATTGTAATTGAAAATTAATAAAAAATATTATTAAGAAAGTAGTCTTTATTATTGTTTTTCAGCTTGTCAAAACGAATTGCCCTGTGAGATAAATAATCAAAAATACACCAACAGAAGCTGTTTAACCTTAACAAAACTCCCCTGACCTTATTTCCCAGAGACACCCTGACTTTTTGCATATCATCTATTATCCCCTTACAACAGGAGCGTCATATGATATACCAACTATTAACTAAAAATGACCTCTTGTTGTACAAGAGCTATAATGGCATAAACCTTTCAGACTGGTCCTTTGGTGTACAGCGGACGCTTGGGTTGCGAACGTGATCTGTGCAGGATGCACATTCGCAACCCGCAGTGTTCACAACCTGCAGTGGCGCATCTGCGCATGCGCAGGTTGCGATTCAGTGCTTCTGCACATGCACAAAGCGTGATTTAGTGCTTCTGCGCATGTGCGACCACCAAAACCCGGAAGTAACCCATTCTGGGACTTCTGAATTTCGGCAGTCCGTAACCCAAAAAAACGCAACCTGAAGCATCTGTAACCCGAGGTATGACTGTATTGGCCTAAGTCAGTGATGGCCAAACTCGGCCCTCCAGCTGTTTTGGGACTACAATTCCCGTCATACCTGACCACTGGTCCTGTTAGGTGGGGATGATGGGAGTTGTAGTCCCAAAACATCTGGAGGTCCGAGTTTGGCCATCTCTGGCCTAAGTAATAAAACTCCCCTATTCTCCTGCTTTAAATGTCCTTCAGCGTCGTGAACAGGGACAGTGGAACTGACTCCCTCGGAAAGCAGCGGACTTTTCAATCAGAAGTTGGGGGGCTGTCTGCCAGGGGTTCTTTAGCTGTGATTCCTGTGTTGAAGCGGGTTGGACTAGATGAGCCTTGGGGTGCCCTTCCAACTTTACAGTTCTATGATTCTGTGAAACGCATGGTGCACATGCAGCTTAATTGAATGAATGCACATAACAGGCAGGGCTGTTGTTGTTTTACGGTAAATAGAAGCCACAGCTCTCCACCTCCGCCCCCAAGGAACACGACTGCCGTGGGCGATTGTCACAGCTTGGGGGGATTTTCGCCGGGTCCGCAACTGAGAGAGGAAAGGTTACATTCTTCCCCTTCACTTTGTGCTCCTCTCGTGGCTGCTGGGCTTTATTTTTCCATTTCGTCAAAGCCCTGCATGTTGATTTCAGCCACACAATTACCGGTAACGTCACGGCTAGGGCCAGATTTAAGTTTGATGAGGCCCTAAGCAACTGAAGGTAATGGAGCCCTTTATATGTCCAGCTGTCCTTTGTCAACAACAAATTGTCGCTTTTTTGTGTGTTGAATATATGCTTAATAATAATAATAATAATAATTTATTATTCATACCCTGCCCATCTGGCTGGGTTTCCCCAGCCACTCTGGGCGGCTTCCAACAAAACACTAAAATACAATAACCTATTAAACATTAAAAGCTTCCCTAAACAGGGCTGCCGTCAGATGTCTTCTAAATGTCAGGTAGTTATTTTTCTCTTTGACATCTGGTGGGAGGACGTCATTTAGGGCTTTAAAGGTCAGCACCAACACTTTGAATTGTGCTCGGAAATGTACTGATAATTTATGGACCTCATAGGTATCTCAAGCCATTTGCGCATGTTGCCCTGCAACCAGTCCATGCAGAATGTAGGCACCCTATATATAGAAAGGAGCAAACCCGTGATATTTTTGGGAGCAGGCTATCAGGCGGGGCCCATGACTTACATCACAGGAGCCTACACAACACAAAACACTGTTGCTGTATGTAGGGTTTTTTTTTTTGTTGTTTTTTATCTTATATTTTGGAAATGCACATCCAGGAGTTTTTTTTCCTTTAAATTTTTTTGGGGGACCCCAAGAGAGTGGGGCCCTAAGCTACAGCTTGTTTAGCTTATATGTAAGTCCAGCACTGGCACGGCAGCTGCGACAAAATAAATTCGCTCTTTTGCAGCGTTTGCCAAAGAAATGTGGGTGTGAGCTGCGAACAACAACAATAAAAAGTCGGCAACTGGCAGCCTCTAACCTTAATCTGCCCCCTCCTCTCTTCTGCTGCCAAATTTCCAAGAAAATCAAACCTCAGCATTGAAGGAGCTGGAAAAGTGCTAGGAAAGCACTTATTTACAGAAGTGATCCAATTTGCCTCACACTTCTGGGGTGTTCTCTCCAAAGGAAGGATGTTCTTGTTTTTATTTATTTAAAGAAAAATAGAATTAAAAAGAGGAAATTGTTGCAAAGCGTGCATGCCCAGAGGGGTAAGGACACACAAAAACAGAAATAGAAATTTCCATCACGGGAAAATAAAATAAAAAGAAAGAATACATAAAGGCGGACATGAAACTTGCAACTTCTTATTCCAAAATATATTGTTCTTTCTATCGAGCCTTTAATCCAATGAGCTTCTGATAGCATACAGGGTGGGGATTTTTTAAAAAGCTGTTTCCATCTTTTACAGGTGTTACAGAACAAGAAAGGAAGATAAGCGTCCCCTAACAAGAACAGATACAGAGGCTGTTCAAAAGAATTGCATATCCCACCCTAAATATATGTTACATAAAAGTAACATGGTTCGTCTTGACGTGGGGAAGTTACAAGAATTTTCTCTCAAGGAAGGTTGGGATTACAGCGAGGGATGAAAAGGTTTAGCTTCTCCCCACAATTATTATTATATAATAATATGAAGAATTAATACAAAGTCTTTAGCACAAGGAAGGCCTGGAGTGGCCTTCTCCTTGGTCAGCCATTTTGCAGAATACAGCCTGCTTGCTTCTCCTCAAGTAACAGGACTAGAGACTTTTTAAATCATTTTTATAAACAAAACAAAAAAAAGGAAGTAGAACATTCCAGAAAGGAGATTTGAATCTACCCTGAGGGAGCCGGCCAGGCTTCTCAACAGAATCCGTGACTCAGGGATGAGCTCACGTGGACAATGCTTGGAAGCAAACTTGATGGGAGTTGGACCAGAAACATTGCAAATTAATGAACGTTAGAGTGCCATCGAAGTTATGTGCTTCTACCTGCCGGTTTTAAGTTGCAGGATATATCATGATCTAGGTTAGGAGTGAAAGGTTTGAATGAATTGATTAATATGGTCACAGACCAGCGTCAACACATCACAATATCACAGTATCATTAAGATTAAGATATCAAAAATACAGAGAGACAATATGCTGGTATAACAAGCACTTAAATATAAAATACTAAAGATTGAAGTATGAGCATGTCCGCTGTAATTAACATTTGAAGAGGTTATGGACATTATGGATACCATTTGCTTACCTGTGATTTTCATATTTTTGCATGTCGTATCTTGTATTGTAATTTGGCTTTATCTTTTAAATGTTCATGTCTATTAGTGTGATTTTATGTCTTCTAGCAGAAGTTTTAATAACTATTGGTGTTCCAAGATTAACATTCCTAGAGACTTTTGCAAAACATGGTGTAAATAAAAAAGTCAAAGGAAGCAGTATATCCTCATAAAGGACGATAACGTAATCGTACCATGTGGACAGCCAGGCTTCTCAACAAAATCTCCTCAGGATGGCTCACGTGGGCATTCTTGGGCTAACCTGATGGGAGTTGGACCAAAAAGCTTCATACGAACCGGAGTCCATCAAATTTTGTGTTTCCCCCCTCCCCTTGTTGCAGGAATTTATGTATAGGTTGGGGGGGGGGTTGCCCCTCCATCAGATATCATGCACATGCAGCCCACTACCAAAACCAGCACAATCGCTTTGGGGACTTTTGTGATTTGTCCCCACAAAACACTTCATCGCAATTTCTTCCTATCTATTCCAAGGGCCTTTGCTGCACGATACCAAATGTAAGAATTCACTGATAAATGTACCGGTACCTATGTACTGGCTCACTGGGAAAACTTCAGATATTCATATAAACAGGTGAGCTCAGCTGCTCAGCAGCCCCTCTGCCTGGGTGATAATTCCTTTTTTTTTTTTTTATAAAATATTTATTAAAGTTTAAACATTACAAAAAAGAAAAGAAAAGCAAAAGAGAAAAATAAGCAATAAACAGTTACAAAGCCTCAAAAACAAAATCAGATACAGCAGTACAAAGCATCAACAATACAAAAAGGAAAAAAGAAAAGAAAACAAAAACATTTAAAAAAGAAAAAAACCCAAAAGAGAACAAACAAACATACAAACCCCCCCCCATATTTTCATATCCTTATCTTTCATTAGCTTATTTCCTCGATTTCCTCACACCTCCTTTTTTGTATTCTAGTTCAGTTAAATATTCTAGCAAGTCCTTTCCCTCTTTCACAAATTTAGTTCCATAATTTAATTTAACGAAATTTTAGACTTAAATTTACATCTTTACCCAATGTCAATCTATTCATACTTAATTCTTTATAATGTTTCTATTAAAGTCATATAACTTCTTTCCAGCATCTTTCTAACCTTCATGCCTGGGTGATAATTCCTGGCATCCTGATACCTGAGTGCCAGACAGGTAGCCATTCCAGAAATAGCAAACCCAGATGAAGACAAAAGGGTGTGATTAACTTGGCTGGGAAACAGGGAAATGTAAATATCATTTTTGTTACACTTGATGGGTGTTTGGTGGAGGGCAAGGAGAACCATGGGGCAGGGTCCAGGATGCTCAGATTACGGCCACCAGACCTCCCCTTTCATGATGTAACCGTGATGTAACCGTGATGTAGTTTTGGGGGGGGGTGTAACATGGGGATGAGCAGCTAATAAAAGTTTGGGTTCTCTTTTGTTCGGGGCTTCCATCTTGTTCCACCTTGTGGCAGGTGGGAGTCCTGCGGACAGTCTTCAATCAAGACCAAGCCTACTGGCTGCTGTTTTGCTCTGGTATTCCTGGCTGGTGTCCTTGGTTTTTTTGTCCAAGGGAGCCCTCAGATTTCTCCGTTAACACCCTCAATAATTAAAAATATTTGGTTTCTGAGCATATATACACAGTGAATGAAAGAGCACCCATGCTTCTGCGATGAGCTGGTCAGACTGTGTCTTTTTCACAAGCCAGCTTTATTTTAGAGACTGACTTCCACCCATCAAAAGGTGTCTCGAACCACATTTAAAGCATCTTCAAAAAACTTAATGTTGGATGTTTTATTGTGTTTTTAATAGTCTGTTGGGAGCCACCTAGAGTGATGGGGCAACCCAGTCAGATGGGTGACATATTATTATTATTATTATTATTATTATTATTATTAGCTCCCGGGAACTGCAGTTTCTTAAGGGTGCTGGGAAATAATCCCAGGATTATTTGTAGGGGAAGAATGTGCTTCAAACATTGCGCTGAATGTGCTTTAAATAGCCGGTCTTCAGCTGCGGGGTTTCCATGTAAATAAATAGTAATTATTGTGATGGGTCATTCCCCGCTAGTGGGCCTGATCCACGGTCAGTCGCAGCCGGAGCACAACCTCCATGCAAAATATATGGCAAAAGAATTGTACACAGCTGAAAACGCTGGCCGTGTTAAGGTAAATTCAACAGTGTAACCTATTTAAAAGGAATGTAAAATGGGGGCGGGGGGGGACTTGATTCAGATGGATATATAAGAATATGGAGGAATTATGGGTAAATTAAAAGAACATTGGATGGGGAAGGAGGGAAATCGTTGAATGTATGGGTGTAATGAAAGATGTTAATGTGGAAATGTAAAATCTGAAAACTTTTAATAAAAATTAGTGTGGGGGGGTGTGTGTTTTCTTTTTAAAAAGATTACGAAATGGGTCCCCAAAGGCATGTTTGGGTTAAAAATGCATCTGGAAAAGTTGAATACTGCTTTAAATGCATACAGCAACTCTTCCCCTTAGTTCTGGCACTCCTCAGCGAGAAAGGATTTCAGGGCTCATTCGGTTTACGATACGGCGGCGCACCGAAAAGTAGCTGGTCGTTTTCCTCGCTCACCTGCTTCCATCTTTACGATTTTGATAGCAGCCAGTTTCCCTGTCTCCTTGTTCCTTGCCTGAGGAGATACAGAAAGGAGAATGTGTTTAAAAGATGGGCAAAGGCCTAAACGTGGCTGGAGACCAGGGTCTCGGCTATACAGTTGCAAACAAAAAGTTTTAAATGTGTTTCAAAGTGCAAAACGCGAACGTGGCACCAGATGGCGGAAGTGAGCTATGCCAAATTTGATGTATTTTTCAAAACTTTTTTTTAAAAGTATTTTCACAGTGTTTTTTTATATGAGAGCTCCAATTGGAGAACAGCCTTTACCAAAGGTGTCACAGGTTTTGAAGACGCTCAAATTGAGGGCGAAAGGGAGAAACGCGCTAAGAGGAAGGCACGCTTGGCAAATCCACACTGTGATCAGCTCCCGTCCAGAAACCTATGTCCCCACTGTGGAAGGACGTGTGGATCCAGAATTGGTCTCCACAGTCACAGACTCAGAAACTGTGTTTATGGAAGACAATCTTACTCGGATACAAGGGATCGCCAAAGAAGAAGAAAGATTTCCTCATTTTGAAGAATGAAGGATTGGTTTTCTATGGAGTGTGTGCACTTAAAATTCATGTAACAGCAGCAAACACACAAGCTGGGCTTTTTCCTGTGACTTCTCTTTGGGGGACAGGCAGTTTGCAAAAAGAATGGCACAAAATTATCAATGACAAGTACAAAACGGCTATTTGAAGGTTTAAAAAACCGATTAAAATCAACAATACGCTGAAACCACATATCAACATGCTGCAAACCTGGGTAGGTTTGTACCTAACCTGAACAAAATATTTTTTAGCAGGAGCCGAAAAGGGTGTAATGAAGACATCTGCCTGATGCCAATATGCAGGGAGTTATTATTATTAAAATCAGTTTTGAGCCTTCCTAGATATTTTAGTGACCCTGTTATGTACTGAAGTTCTCACCCTGGGCCAGCAGAGGGATGCTGTAGATAGTTATGCAAATGAAGGATCGAAAGTGACGTTCAGTGACTGGATAGTTTTAGAAAGTTGTTACAGTAACGTGGTACTGGAGCTCTATATAAGCAGGCTGGCTGAGCCCTTCAGTTCAGTTCTGTTCTGGCCTCTGAATAAACAAGAGCTGTTTGAAGAATCGCTGTGTCGTCTGATATGTTCACCCACAACTTAACACCTATTATCTCCTGTATTTGTTATAGTGTCTGCTGAATTTTATGGTGGGGTTTCTTATTTCACGCCATTCCGATCTACATCTGAGGAAGATATAAATGGTTTTCTTAAAAAAAAAGAAAGATAAAAATAATGTGTTCAGCCTAGCAGCAGTTGTGAAATTATCAGGACCACAAGCTTGTTACTGGGTATAGCTGCTCACCACACCACTGATTTGTATCATGTAGGGAGAGGAAATGGCTGCCAGCAACCTATAGCCTCTCCAACAAGCAAATATAGTAAAAACTCTATTTTGGAGGCAGACCCCAGCAGCGTTGATTACAAGTTCCAGCCGCTTTTATTGCTTCCTGTTCAGTGTGGCTGGAGGGTGAATTGCCCCTTGATTGTCCCCTCAATTAGTCAGCTTCTATTGACATCGATTGACATGCTGTTTTCCTTTCCTTTCCTTTCTCTTCTTCTTCTGCTCCCAAAATTTTTGCCACAAATCAGGTTGGGAAAAACACAGGAAGGGTGGCCAGGTGGGCATATCTGGAATACAATGATATCATCCAGATGCACATCAGTATGCAGATGACACCCAGCTCTACCTCTCTTTTAAATCAGAACCAGGGAAGGCGGTGAATGTCCCGTGTGAGTGCCTGGAGGCGGTTGGAGGATGGATGGCGTCTAACGAATTGAGGTTGAATCCTGACAAGACAGAAGTACTGTTTTGGGGGGACAGGGGGCGGGGGGGGGGGACTCCCAGGTCCTGAATGGGGTAACTGTGCCCCTGAAGGACCAGGTGCGCAGCCTGGGAGTCATTTTGGACTCACAGCTGTCCATGGAGGCGCAGGTCCATTCTGTGTCCAGGGCGGCTGTCTACCAGCTCCATCTGGTACGCAGGCTGAGACCCTCCCTGCCCACAGACTGTCTCGCCAGAGTGGTGCATGCTCTAGTGATCTCCTGCTTGGACTACTGCAATGCGCTCTACTTGGAGCTACCTTTGAAGGTGACTCAGAAACTGCAATTAATCCAGAATGTGGCCACTAGACTGGTAACTGTGAGTGGCCGCCGGGACCATATAACGCCAGTCCTGAGAGATCTGCATTGGCTCCCAGTACGTTTCCGAGCACAATTCAAAGTGTTGGTGCTGACCTTTAAAGCCCTAAACAGCCTTGGTCCTGTATACCTGAAGGAGCGTCTCCACCCCCATCATTCAGCCCGGACACTGAGATCCAGCGCTGAGGGCCTTCTGGCGGTTCCCTCACTGCAAGAAGTGAGGTTACGGGGAAGCAGACAGAGGGCCTTCTTGGTAGTGGCGCCCACCCTGTGGAACGCCCTCCCATCAGATGTCAAGGAAGCTTTTAATGTTTAATAGACTATTGTATTTTAATATTTTGTTGGAAGCCGCCCAGAGTGGCTGGGGAAACCCAGCCAGATGGGTGGGGTATAAATAATAAATTATTATTATTATTATTATTAAGCAAATAAAGCATAGCAATAACAGACAAAGGAACAACTACAGCAGCCTCTAGGGTATAGGCACCAACTCGGGGAGCGGGGCCTGGGTCCTGAGGCACCCACAAAATTCTGACTGTGGGTGCCTGACCGGTTGACCTAACGTAGAGTGTGCATGACGTCACATGGTGTGCCGAAGTCCAAGAGGATCCGTCGCACCCTCCAAATGACCCATCGGGCTTTTCGCAGGGCCTGCCGGGACTCGTCGCAGTTGCAGGAGGCTAAAACAGGGCGCGACAAAGGCACGCGCATGGGAAAGATACATGCCACCTCAAGTGCAATGTAAACGCCTTATAAACAGGCAGGAGATTCGACTGTGAATTCCTGTGGCCTCACCTTGCTTGGGACCTGCATCCCGCAGCTCAAAGTGGGAGACTGCTTAGAGGGGAAGGAGAAGAACGCAAGCTGAAATATTTTGGCAGAGGATACAGCTGCAGCGCTCGGCTCCTTTGATAGTATGAAGCAGGATGTGAGCCGTTACATTAAGTGGGAGGTGGGCTTGCAACACAAGCTGCCCTTCCTCCACGAGGCCTTGGAGATAGAAACTGGCAAACCAGAGGGGAAAGGGGTGCTTCCAGGCCTTGAAACCACCAAGGCATGTTGTAGGGAAACTTAAAGCTGTGTACAGCGGTACCTCGGGTTACAGACGCTTCAGGTTACAGATGCTTCAGGTTACAGACTCCGCTAACCCAGAAATAGTACCTCAGGTTAAGAACTTTGCTTCAGGATGAGAACAGAAATCGTATGGTGGCGGCACGGCAACAGCAGGAGGCCCCATTAGCTAAAGTGGTGCTTCAGGTTAAGAACAGTTTCAGGTTAAGAACGGACCTCCGGAACGAATTAAGTTCTTAACCCGAGGTACCGCTGTACAAGAATGCTTTGTGCACCTGCATCTAATCTTGCCCCTTTCTAAAATTTATGTACAGTGGTACCTCGGGTTACAGATGCTTCAGGTTACAGACGCTTCAGGTTACAGACTCCGCTAACCCAGAAATAGTACTTCGGGTTAAGAACTTTGCTTCAGGATGAGAAATCATGCAGCGGCGGCGTGGCGGCAGCAGGAGGCTCCATTAGCTAAAGTGGTGCTTCAGGTTAAGATCAGTTTCAGGTTAAGAACAGACTTCTGGAACAAATTAAGTTCTTAACCAGAGGTACCACTGTACACATGTGCCAGATTCACCCATTCCCCTCCTCAAAGAAACTTGGGAACTTCAGTAAGTAACTGTAATAAACACATAATAATTAGTTGGGTAAGGGTGCTGGGAGCTGTAGCTTGTGGGGGGGGGTAAACTACAATTCCTGAAATTCCTTTTTGAAGGTGGGGTCCTTTAAAGGTCTGGTATGTACATGCAACCATTTTTACTCACAAATTTATTAACAACAATACTGTGGGACAAAAATAAGTACAAAGTGCTTTCTGTCCATTTCATTTTTCCCCAGTTTCTATCCCCCCCCCCGATCTTACATTCATCTCATTCTGCCTCAGTTTCCAAATTTTAATCAAGAGCCCTCATGAAAAATCCATCAGCTTTTTAGTGCCAATTTCTGCTAATAAACACTTATATGATGTTAGCCACTCTGAGCCCGGCTCAAGCCGGGGAGGGCAGGGTGCAAATAATAATATTTATTACTATTAATATTATGTTTATTATTGCCACCAGTTGTTCCCCCCCCCAACCCAATGTCTTTTCCTATGTTGTTTTCACCAATGTCCTCAATTCTTGTCACACTTTCCCCTGGTGCGTGAACATTTTTGTAAAATGCAAATTCTGAAGGATAGCTGAGTTTCAGTTTGCATATTGTTTCGGGAACTGAACCAGGAAATGTGATCCGAAACCAATTTCTCCCCTCTCCCTGTACAATTTGCAGAAGTTGCTGCCATTCTGAGCATTCCCTGGGAACACCTCTCAGGAATAACAGCTTTTCTAGATGCTGCAGAAAAGCTATGGGGTTCGTCCACATACGAACAATTCCCAGTTATTCACTTCCCATTATAATTCTTCTCCGACCAGTAGTATCAGAAGGCAGGCAAGCTCCTTTTAAGAAGGGGTGGATGGTGGGGCTTAGATGGGGATCGGGCCCAGGCTACCTGGAATATTGTATCTCCCTATACAAACCTGGATGCTTTTGAATTATAGTGCTGGAGGAGACTCTTGAGAGTCCCATGGACTGCAAGAAGATCAAACGTACCCATTCTGAAGGAAATCAGCCCTGAGTGCTCACTGGAAGGACAGATCCTGAAGCTGAGGCTCCAATACTTTGGCCACCTCATGAGAAGAGAAGACTCCCTGGACAAGACCCTGATGTTGGGAAAGATTGAGGGCACAAGGAGAAGGGGACGACAGAGGACAAGATGGTGGGACAGTGTTCTCGAAGCTACCAACATGAGTCTGACCAAACTGCGGGAGGCAGTGGAAGACAGGAGTGCCTGGTGTGCTCTGGTCCAGGGCGGTCACAAAGAGTCGGACATGACTAAACGACTAAACAACAACAACATACAAACTTGCCCACATGCTAAGATCCTGGGGTGAGCACCTTCTTTGGCTCCCATCAACACCAAAAGCGTGGTTCATGGTGACACAAGAGAGAGCCTTTTCTGTAGTGGCTCCCATATTATGAAATTCCCTCCCAAGAGAGGTTAGATTGGCTCCCTCTTTGTTATCCTTCCCCCAACAGGCTGAGGCCTTCATGCTTAGACAGGCCTTTGGAAACTAAGGTTCAGATTGTGCTGATTGCTGGGTCCCTATCAAGGCAAATTGGATTTTAATTGCTGGTACTAAATGTGTTCTGAAGAATCTCAATTCCTGTTTTAACTAGTTTGTTTCTATTACTTTGGATTTTATGAAGTTGTCTTTAAGTGATCTCAGCCTCCTTGAATCCCAACTTGGGACAAATATATGAACGCAGATAATTTAAAGATAACAACAATAACAACCCACTAAAACCAGATGCGCAGGGGAAACCTGTGTCAGGAAGGGGTAGGGAAAGTATGTGTTCCGAAGCATTCTCTTCAACAGCAATACTTTGTTCTTCTGCTAACGCTGTTAATTTTCACATTTTGTGTCTGTGCACATGATGCTTACAAGGAGATAAGTTGTGAGGTATCTTGAACAGTCTATTGCAGTCAAAGTCAACCAAAATTCAATTTCCATTTGCTGGCAATAGAAATAGATAACTATAGAAGCGTCCCAGGTGCTTATTCTGCATTTATACTTCTCATGGCGGCTTAAAGGGTAAAGGGACCCCTGACCATTAGGTCCAGTCGTGGCCGATTCTGGGGTTGCAGTGCTCATCTTGCTTTATTGGCCGAGGGAGCCAGCATACAGCTTCCAGGTCATGTGGCCAGCATGACTAAGCTGCTTCTGGCAAACCAGAAACGCAGCACATGGAAACGCCGTTTACCTTCCCGCCGGAGCGGTACCTATTTATCTACTTGCACTGGCGTGCTTTCGAACTGCTAGGTTGGCAGGAGCAGGGACCGAGCAACAGGAGCTCACCCCGTCGTGGGGATTCGAACTGCCGACTTTCTGATCAGCAAGTCCTAGGCTCTGTGCTTTAACCCACAGCGCCACCCACGTCCTGTCATGGCGGCTTATGGCCCAAGAAATAAATGTACCCATCACGTTTTCCAACCAGTGAAAGGAGCTGCTAAGGCTGAGCCTTGAGCTGGAAATGAGGAGGGAAAGGTGAGGAGGAGAGGTCAGGAACTAGAGTCCCCAAGGGCCAAATCTGACCTTTTGAGAGGACCAGATGGTCCTTCATTTGGAGCCTGCCGAATTACAATGGCCCATCTTACAACATTCAGCTTCACTGAACATCCACGAATTCTAGTGTGACAACAGGAGAGAAAAAACTACAGTGGTACCTCGGGTTACATACGCTTCAGGTTACAGACTCTGCCAACCCAGAAATAGTACCTCAGGTTAAGAACTTTGCTTCAGGATGAGAACAGAAATCGTGCTCTTGATACGTATATTGATATTTAATCTTATAGAGACTACTTTTTCTTGGCTTAAGTTTAAGAGACTGATTTGCTTAGCCTCTACCACATTGAACATTTTACCTGTCCTTTTCTGATTTCACATTGTTAGGGGAGAGGGAGCCTCCATCTCTTACTTAAAGTGGCCATCCCATAAATGTCCCTCGCATTTACCTCTCTTATGTTCCATGGAGAGAATTACCAAGGCAGACAGAAGGACTTTCTGCCATGCGCTTTCTCTCCCAGTCGAAGTGTAGCCTGTCTCGCAGCTTTAAAAAGCAGGCAGTGCGTTGGGCACAGAGACCAGCATTGTGTGGTGGATGAAGCGCTCAACAGAGCAATGAATTCATGTTCAGCTATGACACACACTAGGACGGCAATGGCGCACATACCGGGAGGAACGCATCAAAGAATTGAGCACAGTTGTCGCTACTTCTAAAGATTCATAGGACTGCGCTAAGCTACACCACAATGTTGCTGTGAAGATAAAAGGAGGGAGTGATCAAGGTTTCCCCAAGGTCTTTAGGGGAATTGTGGGATGAAAATGTGGCCGACAACACACTTCTCAGCTTTTCCAATATCATGCAGCTATGAGTTCCACAGGCGAACCCTACTCCATATTTATTTCTTTTGTCCTCAAACCCAGTTCAATTAGTATGCGGCTGTATTGCCGAAGATGCTTTTCCTATTTTAAACAGCTCCAGTGATTGGCAACGCTGGATGTTTCAAAGAGTGGCACAGAGATTACAAAATATACCCGGCAGGGGACGAAACCAAGAATAAAATAGAGCATTTTAATTGATGCAAAAGGAAGAGGTGGGTTTTCCCTGCCAGAGCTAAGATTATATTATGAGGAATCCTGTTTTTGCTGGTCAATTAGTGTGAAGAAGAAGAAGAAGAGGAGGAGGAGGAGTTTGGATTTGATATCCCGCTTTATCACTACCCGAAGGAGTCTCAAAGCGGCTAACATTCTCCTTTCCCTTCCTTCCCCACAACAAACAGTGAGGTGAGTGGGGCTGAGAGACTTCAAAGAAGTGTGCAGCTGTGGAAGTCGTAGCCCCAAATGTGTGATGCCCTCAGCCATTCAGTCTCTCCAGGAAGGAGCAGCGGTTTGGTTGCTTACCTTATAGACTTCTCCATAGGTCCCTCCGCCAACTCTCAGAAGAAGTTCAAAGTCCTCTTGGGGGTTTCGGGTAGAAATGTCTAGGGCAGCTCTTTCCTGGGCATCCATTGTTCACTGAATCCCCACCCCACCCCGCTGCCACCCCAAGGTGGAGGTTTGCAAACTCTGCGACTCTCTCACTGCGCGTGGGCGTCAGAACAGCAATGTGGTCAGGACACTTTATAAATTTCTCAGGGTTCTGCTTCCTGATTTGATGCACGATTGGTTTGTGCGAGCTCCACTGTGGCCTTTAAAGCCCTGTGGCGGGTATACAGAGATCACATTGGTTCCTCTATCGCATGGGTAGGCAAACTAAGGCCCTGGGGGCCGGATCCGGCCCAATCGCCTTCTAAATCCAGCCCGCGGATGGTCTGGGAATCAGCGTGTTTTTACATGAGTAGAATGTGTCCTTTTATTTCAAATGCATCTCTGGGTTATTTGTGGGGCCTAGGAATTCATTCATTACCCCCCCCCCAAAAAATATAGTCCGGCCCCCCACAAGGTCTGAGGGACAGTGGACCGGCCCCCTGCTGAAAAGAATTGCTGACCCCTGCTCTATCTTCTCCTCTTCGCTGGCCCTTTTGCAGAATCAGTTTCCCTCGGGGAAGGGACTGGGGCTGGCGCACCGGCGGGGAACTCCACCCCAGGGGCCACAATGTGGCCCTTGGGATTCTCACTGGTCATACCCTGCACAGGCCTGGCTGCAAATCTGTTTGCAGGAACTGGCCTACTGTAAAATGTACATTCATTGCTCTGCCCACTTTTGCCCCTGGCCACATCCACCACTGACATGTGGCCCTCAGATGGCTACCCAGAAAGGAATGTGGCCCTGGACTTAAAAAAAAACTTGCCCACCCCTGTGCTAGAGACTTGCAAGATGAGACTGCCATTGGCCCATCTAGTCCAGAATCCGTTCTCAATGCAGCAGGGGGGAACCCGCAAGCAAGACCCAAAGAACAACAGCACTCTCCAGCCACTTGAATTCAAAAATATGCTGCCTCCCACCTTTGAGCCTTCATCATCATCATCATCATCATTTATTTATACCCCACTCATCTGGCTGGGTATCCCCAGCCACTCTGGGCGGCTCCCAACAGAATATTAAAAACACGATACAGCATTAAACATTAAAAACTTCCCTAAACAGGGCTGCCTTCAGATGTCTTCTAAAAGTCTGGTAGTTGCTTATTTCCTTGACATCTGATGCGAGGGCATTCCACAGGGCGGGCGCCACCACCGAGAAGGCCCTCTGCCTGGTTCCCTGTAACTTTGCTTCTCGCAGGGAGGGAACTCCCCGAAGGCCCTCGGCGCTGGACCTCAGTGTCTGGGCAGAATGATGGGGGTGGAGATGCTTCTTCATATATACAGGGCCGAGGCCGTTGAGGGCTTTAAAGGTCAGCACCAACACTTTGAATTGTGCTCGGAAATGTACTGGGAGCCAATGTAGGTCTTTCAGGACCAGTGTTATACGGTCTCGGTGGCCGCTCCCAGTCACCAGTCTAGCTGCCTCATTCAAAGGCAGCCCCACGCAGAATGCATTGCAGTAGTCCAAGCGGGAGATAAGTAGAGCATGCACCACTCTGGCGAGACAGTCTGTGGGCAGGGAGGGTTTCAGCCTGCGTGCCAGATGGAGCTGGTAGACAGCTGCCCTGGACACAGAATTGACCTGCGCCTCCATGGACAGCTCATAGCCATGGAGAGCTGTCCATGAATTTGGACAGAGAACTGGGCCAAAACAAACAAGATGAATTTTAACAGGGAGAAATGTAAAGTCTTGCACTTGGGCAAAAAAAATGAGAGGCACAAATACAAGATGGGTGACACCTGGCTTGAGAGCAGTACATGTGAAAAGGATCTAGGAGTCTTGGTTGACCACAAACTTGACATGAGCCAACAGTGTGACGCGGCAGCTAAAAAGCCAATGCAATTCTGGGCTGCATCAATAGGAGTATAGCATCTAGATCAAGGGAAGTAATAGTGCCACTGTATTCTGCTCTGGTCAGACCTCACCTGGAGTACTGTGTCCAGTTCTGGGCACCACAGTTCAAGAAGGACACTGACAAACTGGAACGTGTCCAGAGGAGGGCAACCAAAATGGTCAAAGGCCTGGAAACGATGCCTTATGAGGAACGGCTAAGGGAGCTGGGCATGTTTAGCCTGGAGAAGAGGAGGTTAAGGGGTGATATGATAGATGAATTTGTCGAATCTTCCTTTTAAACTGTCCAAGTAGGCAGCCAAAAGCTTATTGCAGAAGTGAGTTCCATTGTTTAACTATGTGTTTATGATGCCTGCAGGAGTGCAAAGGTCAAAAGAAGCTCCTTCGTCAATGGTATAGTCCGGGGTCACTGGAAGTCGAAGACCCCTTACTATTTCTGCAGCTGGGTCTGTCTCCAGCATCTTAGAGCCGCCTGACCAGCGTTGAAAGGGAGCTTTCTGCCCACTGCATGCTCAAAAACAAAGCATTCAGGTATACTGAAAACGCAAGGTGCGTCTGTTTCAATAAAAGGGTGTGCAAGTTCTGTTAAGTACGATAGAACTTCAAGGAAAGCACAGCTTGAGTCACTGCAAAATACCGTATTTTTCACTCTATAAAATGCACCAGATCACAAGACGTGCCTAGTTTTTGGAGGAGGAAAACAAGAAAAAAAATATTCTGAATCTCAGAAGCCAGAACAGCAAGAGGGATCACTGCACAGTGAAAGCAGCAATCCCTCTTGCTCTTCTGGCTTCTGGGATAGCTGCGCAGCCTGCATTCGCTCCATAAGATGCACACACATTTCCCCTTACTTTTTAGGAGGGAAAAAGTGAGTCTTATAGAGCAAAAAATACGGTAGGTTCCGGTACTCACCATGAAATTGTTACAGTAAGTGCCACACTTTTTAACAACAAAAGGGGGGGGGGAGAACCACTCCAAAAAATGATATTGGAGCACTCTGAATCATTGGCTTATGTATTTGCACAGAACATAGTAGATCTAGCAGAAAGGCAACAGCTGGAGATTTGCACCGATTGCTGCAATACATCCACAATTACAAAGCATTGTGTAATTGTGCAATTTTAGAAGGGGGCGTGGCTGTGACTATCACTTCACTTCTGATTTTGCCACTACGCTCCCTTTCCTTGTTACCATCGGGTCAGACTATATGCCTCGTCTGCCTGACACCAGCTCTTCAGGGTCTCAGCCAGAGACCTGTTTTTCCCTTCCCCCACTCCTTGAACCTTTCCACTGGAGATATAGCGCAAAGTGAACCAGGTGTTAAGGTTCCCTCCCTGAAGAAACCATAGCTCAGCAAACTGGTATATCCTATTGCAGGGATGTCCAACCAGTAGATCCCCGGCTGATCCTGGTAAATCGCGGGATCCTTATCGCATACAAAAAGTTACAGGGGGCGGAGCTAAAAATGGCCCAGTTGCATCCTAAAGGAGATTAGGAGGAGTGACCAGAGTCAGGCACCACATAAACCCACTGGCACCGCCATTTGAACTGCATGGATGGCTGTAAGGTAGTCTCTATGTGAGTATGCTGTATTTAATTATGGGGTATCAAAAGGTTTTGGGGGGGGGACGCTGGTGGCACTGTGGGTTAAACCACAGAGCCTAGGACTTGCCGATCAGAAGGTCGGCTGTTCGAATCCCCGTGACAGGGTGAGCTCCCGTTGCTCGGTCCCTGCTCCTGCCAACCTAGCAGTTCGAAAGCACGTCAAAGTGGAAGTAGATAAATAGGTACTGCTCTGGCGTTTCCGTGCGCCGCTCTGGTTCGCCAGAAGCGGCTTAGTCATGCTGGCCACATGACCCGGAAGCTGTACGCTGGCTCCCTCGGCCAATAAAGCGAGATGAATGCCGCAACTCCAGAGTCGGTCACGACTGGACCTAATGGTCAGGAGTCCCTTTACCTTTATCAAGAGTTTTTAGGGGGTCAAGCAGGCTGGGATAGCAGGCTTGTTGCTTTCTGAATGTCTGGTGTAGATTTTTTCAATTTCGTTGTTCTGTATGGGACAATGACAATAAAGACTATAGTATTGTATCGTGTTGTCGCTCAGGCGCTGGTCCCAGTCAGCAGGATCTCTGCTTGGTGCAATGTAAGTCCGGCGCAGTTTAAATCTGCGCCCCAGATGCTACAACAGCAGCAAGAATACTTATTGCAAAGCATTGGAAGACACAAGATCTACCCACACTGGAGGAATGGCAGATGAAAATGATGGACTACATGGAATTGGCGGAAATGACTGGTAGAATCCGAGACCAGGGAGAAGAGTCGGTGGAAGAAGATTGGAAGAAATTTAAAGACTACTTACAGAAATATTGTAAAATTAATGAATGTTAGAATGATGTTGGATTGAAGTTAAGTGGTTTCTGGCTGTAATGGTATAAAAGAATATGGAAAATTGGTTTTTAATATCTAAAAATTTAATGTTATAATATATCAAGATTAAAGATCAGGATTAAAAAGGAGGGAAAGGAATTGCTGGACTAACAAATTGAATTAGAATACAAAAGAGGGAGGTATGAGGAGGTCCGGGAAACAAGTAAATGTAAAAGAAGTGATGAAAAGATGAAATTGTTTTTAACTGTTTTTTCTTTTTTGTACTTTGTATTCTGTATTTTTCCTTTTTATTGTTAATTTTTTTTATTAATGTGATCTTTTTCTTTTGAAATTTTAATAAATATCATATAAAAAAAAAAAAATTCTGCGCCCCAGAGAAGTTCCGATTTCAAAAACCAAGCCCAAGTTTCTAGCCCTCGCGCAAAAGAGCTGCATAGAATCTTCCGAGGGAGAAGGGAGGGGGAGGAGCCGAAGCTCAACCCCGAAGGGGGCGGGGCCAGAAACGTCGCCCGCCTCTCCTTGGCCCTTTTCTCCGCGACGCATGCGTGTCCCGCACCTCTCGCCCGCGGCGCTCCCAGGGGCGTGGCTGGGCGGAAGCGGAAGTCGGAGGCTGCCCGGCCGGAAGTGCCTTCAGTCCCTGCTCCTTCCGTTTCCTGTGCTGAGGCCGCGGTCCTTTCCCTTCCTCTTCCGCCACCTCCTTCTCCGCTCCCGGTTCCGCGTGCCATGGCGCTCTTCGAGCAGATGCGGGCGAACGTGGGGAAGCTGCTGAAGGGCATCGACAGGTGCTGACCCGGAGGGGGGGGGTGATTGACAGGGGGGGTGGGAGGGACCTGGTCGCGGTTACCAAGGCAACCACACACCCCTCCTTCCCATCCTTCGGGGGCGACTTCAGAAACCAAGCGGCGCGGGTTGGGGGCTTCCCTTCTTTCCTTGAGGGGCACTCTGCACGTGCTCAGAGGCACGCCGCCTTTCCCGCCTGCGTTACGTCATTTATAGCCGTTGTTGTTGTTTAATCGTTTAGTCATGTCCGACTCTTCGTGACCCCCTGGACCAGAGCACGCCAGGCACTCCTGTCTTCCACTGCCTCCCGCAGTTTGGTCAAACTCATGCTGGTAGCTTCAAGAACACTGTCCAACCATCTCGTCCTCTGTCGTCCCCTTCTCCTTGGGCCCTCCATCTTTCCCAACATCAGGGTCTTTTCCAGGGAGTCTTCTCTTCTCATGAGGTGGCCAAAGTACTGGAGCCTCAGCTTCACGATCTGTCCTTCCAGTGAGCACTCAGGGCTGATTTCCTTCAGAATGGATCGGTTTGATCTTCTTGCAGTCCATGGGACTCTCAAGAGTCTCCTCCAGCACCAGAATTCAAAAGCACCAATTCTTCGGCGATCAGCCTTCTTTATGGTTCAGTTCTCACTTCCATACATCACTACTGGGAAAACCATAGCTTTAACTATACGGACCTTTGTTGGCAAGGTGATGTCTCTGCTTTTTAGGATGCTGTCTAGGTTTCTCATTGCTTTTCTCCCAAGAACCTAATAGTTATCTAAAGCCATTTGCGCATGTTGCCATGCAACCAGTCCATGCAGAATGTAGGCACCCTATATATAGAAAGGAGCAAACCCGTGATATTTTAGGGAACAGGCTAGCAGGCGGGGCCCATGACTTACATTATAGGAACCTGTTGTTGTTGTTGTTGTTGTTTAGTCGTGTCCAACTCTTCGTGACCCCCTGGACCAGAGCACGCCAGGCACTCCTCTCTTCCCCTGCCTCCCGCAGTTTGGTCAGACTCATGCTGGTAGCTCCGAGAACACTATCCAACCATCTCGTCCTCTGCCATCCCCTTCTCCTTGTGCCCTCCATCCTTCCCAACATCAGGGTCTTTTCCAGGGAGTCTTCTCTTCTCATGAGGTGGCCAAAGTCTTGGAGCCTCAGCTTCAGGATCTGTCCTTCCAGTGAGCACTCAGGGCTGATTTCCTTCAGAATGGAGAGGTTTGATCTTCTTGCAGTCCATGGGACTCTCAAGAGTCTCCTCCAGCACCAGAATTCAAAAGCATCAATTCTTCGGCGATCAGCCTTCTTTATGGTTCAGTTCTCACTTCCATACATCACTACTGGGAAAACCATAGCTTGAACTATACAGACTTTTACTAGCTGCTTTTGTCACCCAAACTGTCCCCAAGCGACTTTGCCTTGATATGTACACCTAGGCAATGTGTTGAAACTATAGTGGTACCTCGGGTTAAGAACTTACCGTAATTCGTTCCGGAGGTCTGTTCTTAAGCTGAAACTGTTCTTAACCTGAAGCACCACTTTAGCTAATGGAGCCTCCCGCTACCGTGTTCTCATTCTGAACCAAAGTTCTTAACCCGAGGTACTATTTCTGGGTTAGCGGAGTCTGTAACCTGAAGCGTCTGTAACCTGAAGCATCTGTAACCCAAGGTACCACTGTGTTGGGTACTTCCAGGAAACTTTGCATAGGACTATGGTTATGCCATTCTGAATAAACTTGAGTATTCCGCTATGTACGGCTGCTCTTCAGTGCCTATGAACGTATATAAAATAATACACAACACAATCTCTGGATTTTTCATGGGGGCCTGGCTGTGGGGGCTTTAACAATCAGGTCCTGTACTTCATCATTTACCCTCCTTGGTGCCTTGCTGTAGTATCCTGAAAAGGATCACTTGCAGGTAACCCCATGGTTGTCATGGAGGCCTGGAAGTCCTCCCAACAGCGTGGCCTTGCCCAGGATATTAAACCGCTCATTACAACCAGCTTGGGAGACTCCTATACAGTGGTACCTCTGGTTAAGAACTTAATTAGCTCTGAAGGCCCGTTCTTAACCTGAGGTACCACTTTAGCTAATGGGGCCCCCCGCTGCGGCCGCCCCACCAGAGCACAATTTCTATTTTCATCCTGAAGCAAAGTTCTTACTATTTCTGGGTTAGCGGTGTCTGTAATCTGAAGCGTCTGTAACCCGAGGTACCACCGTATAGGAAAATTGTTGGGAGGCTTGCTTTGTTTCCTCCACTTCCTGGAGCGATGATCCCCAGAGTTCCCCTGTGAAGGAGGCATCGGCTATCAAACCACTCTGGGGATTGTACAGTGGTGCCTCGCAGGACGAAATTAATCCGTTCCGTGAGTGTCTTCGTCTAGCGGTTTTTTTGTCTTGCGAAGCAACCCTATTAGCGGCTTAGCGGATTAGCGCTATTAGCGGATTAGCGCTATTAGCGGTTTAGCGGCTATTAAAGGCTTATCGGCTTAGCGGATTAGCTGCTAAAAGGCTATTAAAGGCTTAGCGGCTTAGAAAAGGGGGGGGGAGCGAAAAAAAATCTCAAGACTCGCAAGACATTTTTGTCTTGCAAAGCAAGCCCATAGGGAAATTCGTCCTGCGAAGCAACTCAAAAACGGAAAACCCTTTCGTCTGGCGGGTTTTCCGTCTTGCGAGGCATTCGTCTTGCGGGGCACCACTGTAGTTCTGTGAAATGGTGGGAGGAGGTCTCCCAACAACTCTCAGCACCCTGAACAAACCACAGCTCCCAGGATTGTTTTTTGGGGGGGTAAGCCAGGAGTGCTAAATGTAGCACCGAAGTGCTGCCTACATATGGTGTGGATGCGGCCTTAGCCTGGCGGTCCTCACCCCCAACCTTTTCTGCGTTTCAGGTATAACCCGGAGAATCTGGCCACGCTAGAGCGCTACGTGGAGACGCAAGCCAAGGAGAATGCCTACGACCTGGAGGCCAACCTGGCTGTGCTCAAACTGTGAGTGGCTCCTTGCTTGCTCTTTTTTTGCAGGGGGCGGGGCTGAGTCCACTCTTGAAAACAGTTCCAAGAAGTGAGGGCAAACTAGGTGTGCTTGGGGGCCAGTGCCCAGCTTGACCTAGGCACTGATTTGGCGAAGAGCCTTGGGGCTAAATCTGTAAATGGGTTTGTGAACCAAGTGCCTCTCAAAGTTGGTGCAAGTTTCTGGAGGACAGTGAAACACTTGGACCTATAGGGTTGCATTCAGCTACTTTTAATAATAATAATAATAATAATAATAATAATTTTTATTTATACCCCAGCCAAGGCCGGGCTCAGGGCGGCTAACAAGCAATAATAAAAACAAGTTGAATGAATACAACTTAAAGACAAGATTAAAATACAACATTAAAATATTGAAACATTAAAATGCAGCCTCATCACAGGAGGAGAAAGGAAAAAGGAAAAAGAAAGAGGGGGAGGGAATCAAACTGGCTCCAAGCCAAAGGCCAGGCAGAATAACTCTGTCTTACAGGCCCTGCGGAAAGAAATCAGATCCTGCAGGGCTCTGGTCTCATGAGGCAGAGTGTTCCACCAGGCCAGAGCCAGTGTTGAAAAGGCCCTGGCTCTGGTTGAAGCTAATTAACTTCCTTAGGGCCCGGAACCACTAGGGTGTTGCTATTTATATACCCTGTGGGGTATACTGGGAGAGGCGGTCCCGTAGGTACGAGGGTCCTAGGCACACCAGTAGGTAGTTGACCTAATTCATTACTTTCTAGTACCGATACATACATGCTGATCTCCTTTCTGTCTGAGGTCCCAATATATTCTTTCTTTTTATCTCATATCCAGGTATCAGTTTAACCCTGCCTTCTTCCAAACCACAGTCACTGCCCAGATCCTCCTGAAAGCTCTGACCAACCTGCCCCACACAGATTTCACACTCTGCAAGTGCATGATTGACCAAGCTCATGTATCCTTTATCCGAGGGGAAGGGAGTTCTGCGCAGGAGCAAAGACTTGAGCTATGAACCAAGAGGTCCCAGATCCAACTTCCATTCCATTCCAACTCACAGGTGCCCTTAGGCAAGCCTTGCTCCTCCACTTACAACGTGGGGACAACACTATTGTTCTTTTCTTAACAAAGTTGTTGAGTTCCTGGGAGAATGTGTGGGAAGTGCAATGGGCGCTCTAAAATTGACATGAAAATGTGAAATATTACCATCCTCAGGCAGTAAACCTTCAGTTTTTTGGACCTCAGTGCCACCCGTAGCCCCAAGCTGCATTGCAACCGTTGCCAGATAGGCTAAAGATGTGTTTCTTTCCCACTGAAATTGTCAGGACATAAAAAAAAACTTTATCACACCACGTATATGTCAGTTGCAAGAGCCATTCTGGTCCATTTCGTTTTTAAAAATCCAAAAATTAACAGCAACTAAGCAGTTCGAAAGCACATCAAAGTGCAAGTAGATAAATAGGTACCACTCCGGTGGGAAGGTAAACGGCGTTTCTGTGCACTGCTCTGGTTCGCCAGAAGTGGCTTAGTCATGCTGGCCAGATGACCCGGAAGCTGGACGCCGGCTCCCTCGGCCAGTAAAGTGAGATGAGCGCCGCAACCCCAGAGTCGGCCACGACTGGACCTAATGGTCAGGGGTCCCTTTACCTTTACCTAAGATGCCACAAAGCAGTGAGCAAGTTTTCAGGTTCCTTGAAGCTCTTCTTGGGAATGAGCGTTAAGTGAGAAAAAATGGAAAGAAGGACCAGGGATTGGGGGTGGGGGGAGGAGATGTTTCCCTGCTGTCTGCACTTCGTAAGGAGGGGGTATCACAAAAACAAAATAGGAGCCTGCTGGCACGATGTATAATGCATAACTTGCAGAATGGAGGTGTTATGATTGTGCTGGCTGCATAAAAAGATACTAGGTTTCACCAAAGAATACTGGAGAGAGAGTCTGCAACTGCTCTCCCTTTTAAATCAGATTAATAGCAAACTGTTGGTCTAGAGTCCTGTCCAGCATAGCCAAATAGAGTTGGTGCTAGGCTATGACACTGACACAAAGGCACTAGTAGAACAACTCTATTCTATACAGCGCCCTCCGTAGCCAAGATGCCGGGTCTCAGGGCGGCTAACACCAAATATAAAACAACTGATTGAAATACAACTTAAAAACAAGATTGAAACCACAGCATTAAAACATTAAACTGCAGCCTCTGTCAGTGGAAGCTCAGATCAAACACTCCTGTGGCCCAGGACCTGCAAGATGTCATTGCCTTCGCCAAGGCTAACCGTCAAGTCTGGTCCTACATGGACCAGAAAAAAGCCAGGGAAGTCCCCAAATAGGAGTTCCAACACAGAAGGAGTGGGAGGGGTGAACTAATCTGTGGAATTACTGTCCATGCGACGACCCTGCAGCAGTATTTAAGAAAGGATGCTGTTCTGCTTACGTTAACAGGTAACAGTTACTTTCCTGTAGCTGCATAAAGACCTCTGTTCTGACTATACAGTGGGCTGTTAATATTTCCTAGCCTGCCCCATCCCTAAGACTTGGGGCAAGAAACCTCACGGCTTCCCCCCTGTGCCATTTGCCGCCTTAATGCCATTTCTCCCAGCAAGAGGAGAGACCCATCCGTCAGATCTTATACCTGGGTGAGCTGCTGGAGACCTGCCACTTCCAGGCTTTCTGGGTAAGCCAAGCTCATCTCTTACTCAACAATCCTTTGTGATTTGCAAAAAAAATAAAAATAAAATATTATTTTTTTGCTTTTGAATGACATACGAGCCCAAGAGATGATTGCCAGGTTGAAACTTGTCTTGTCTTCGCTTTTCTTTTGCTTGTTTCGAAAACAGTCAGAACAATGACATGCCAACAGGAGCAAAACACCTTGAGTGTGTGGTGATCTTCAGGGTCATCTTGAGGGCGAGGCTGGTGTTTGTGTTGGCTACCAGAGTTGGATGATTCTTTATCAGATGTTGAGGCTGTGTAGCATGTACTGTAAGCTATGATTCTGTTGTTTGGAGTGAATGGATGGAATGAGTTACCGTATTTTTCGCTCTATAGGACGCACCGGACCATAGGAGGGGGAGAACAGGGGGAAAAAAATTCTCCCCCTCTCTGCTCAGCGCCCCTTCAGCGAAGCGGCAGGAGAAACGGAGCCCCTTCCATTTCTCCTCCCGCTGCGCTCCGGGGGCTTCAGGCTTCAGACGACTATCCAGACGACAGGATAGCTGCCTGAAGCCTTCGGAGCGCAGCGGGAGTTCCCGCTGCGCTCCAGGGGCTTCAGGCAGCTTCAGCGAAAGCAACGCGAAGCCTCCGGAGCACGGGGGGAGCTCTCCCTCTGCGCTTCGGAAGCTTTGCGTTGCTGTCGCTGAAGCCAAGGAGCCTGCATTCACTCCATAAGATGCACACACATTTCCCCTTAATTTTTGAAGGGGAAAAAGTGCGTCTTATAGAGCGAAAAATACAGTAGATACTCTCCAGGGCAAGAGCCTTCCCTAATATAGATCTGGGCCCCTGTCCTGTAAGAGATGGAAGAGGAGTATTAGATAGTTCAGTGGGGCTCAGGCATCTGTGTACACTTGGCAGTGACCCTTTGATTGTAATACTGGTGAATTTGAGTGGTTTGTTTATGAGTGGCTGATCAAGGTAATGCTTGTGCCTAGGGAATAGTGATAATGACTGTGTGAAATGGACGGTGAGTGAGATTGGATGAATAAGTGGATGCATGTTGGTGTTGTTTGAAATATTCTATTATCAATTATCCCGCCTCTTTGATTTTATTTCATTTATATAAAATTTATGGATATAGATACTGTTTGTGTATTTGTTGCGCAAATCATTTGAAGTGGTTTTTCTTTAACATCGTGTATGTAAACAGCTGTGAGATCTTTTTGATAGGAGTTGAAATTAAAAAGAAAAGAAAACATAAGGATATCCATTAGTATTGCAAAGCATACACAGAGCTTTTTTAAGTGTGCTGCATTTGATAAGTGTACTGATGTAGCTGCCTTACAATTTTTATTTCTGATGTTCTGCAATTCCTTTTTTTCTTTGCAGCTCTTTAAATGTACTTTTGTGATGTTTGGGTGTATTTTTAGCTTCGTTAAAATTCAAAAGCAAGTTTAGCTTCTCCTTGCTAATATCAGGGTGGGATGTCAGCTGCTTTGATTCAAAGCGACATTTTTGTGTGTTTCCTTCCTAGCAAGCCTTAGATGAGAACATGGATCTCCTGGATGGGATCACTGGCTTTGAGGACTCTGTTAGGAAATGTAAGTGTGCTTCTCTCTGTTCCTGCACTCTCCTTCCTTGCCCCTTCAGACACTAAAATCCAGTCTACTACAGTGGTACCTCTGGTTGCGAACGGGATCCGTTCCAAAGGCCCATTCGCAACATGAAAAGAGCGCAACCCACAGCAGCGCGTCTGCGCATGCGTGGGTTGTGATTCAGCGCTTCTGCACATGTGGGTGATGTCATTTTGCGCTCATGCACGAGCGGCGAAACCCGGAACTAACCCTTTCCGATATTTCCGGGTCGCCGTGGGACGTAACCTGAAAGAACATAACACAAAGCTAAGGTAACATGAGGTATGACTGTATATTTCTTTTAGGACTGTGTTCAATGCTACACCTCTGCCTCCAGCACACCCTCAAAATTGGAGTTGGGGGGTCGCCCCAGAGCAGATTCTGGGGGAAGGGAAGAGTGGAAAAGGAAGACCTGTTATGCCAGCAGGATTCTGCCATTGCAGCACTGAATATAGCCTTTAACGATACATAACTCCTTTTGGTTAAACCGAAACGTTGTTGGTTGTGCGGAAAATCTGCACTTCAAATAAATGATGCCAGATTGATTAAAGGAAGAAGTGTGCTTGCTTTGCCTACCATCTTGCTCATTCTTCCCTTTCCCTGAGGAGCTGAGCACTCTTTTCTGAGCTCCATGTGTGTTTATGTGCTCTCCTCAGCCTCCTTAAGAGGAGTGGTCGTTACAAGGCTATGGTTTTACCAATGGTACAGTGGTACCTCGGGTTAAGAACTTAATTCGTTCTGGAGGTCCGTTCTTAACCTGAAACTGTTCTTAACCTGAGCTAATGGGGCCTGCCGCTGCACAGCGTGTTTCTCCCTTGCGTTCTGAGTTTGAGCGTCTTCAAAGCCCATGACACCTTTGGTAAAGGCTGTTCTCCAACTGGAGCGCTCGCAGGCCAGTGTTTCCCAATTGTTGGTGTTTACACTACATTTTTTTTAGATTTGACTTGAGAGAGTCTTTAAACCTCTTTTGTTGACCACCAGCATTACGCTTTTCATTTCTAAGTTCGGAATAGAGTACAGTGGTACCTCGGGTTAAGAACTTAATTCGTTCCGGAGTTCCGTTCTTAACCTGAAACTGTTCTTAACCTGAGGTACCACTTTAGCTAATGGGGCCTCCCACTGCCACTGCACGATTTCTGTCCTCATCCTGAAGCAAAGTTACTATTTCTGGGTTAGCGGAGTCTGTAACCTGAAGCGTATGTAACCCGAGGTACCACTGTACTTTCTGTCCTTCCACAGCCCCTTCCCAGAGCAAGTTCCCCCCTAACTTAAAGGACAGGGATGCAGCTTGATATTTAGTTCCTTGGTTAAAGGAAACCTTGGCTAGCCATGGTTTCCCTTAACTGAGGAACGGCAACCTATGTTCATTCAGAACCCATGTTGAACCACAATTCTAAGCCTCTTGTTCTGTCTCTCTGCAGTTATCTGTCATGTGGTAGGGATCACGTACCAGCACATTGACCGCTGGCTTCTGGCCAAGATGCTGGGCGACCTCACAGGTGAGTAACTATTAGAGTGTGTATCCTGCACACATTCTCAGAAGCTCAGGAACATATAACATCAGCCATGCTCACACATCACAGTGAGCCATCAACCAGGGTTTGCCATGCACAAGTGACTTGCGTGTGCTTTGCTCTTCCTCACTTAATGATAATAATAATAATAATAATAATATATTTATACCTCGCCTATCTGGCTGGGTTTCCCCAGCCACTCTGGGCGGCTTCCAACTGAATATTAAAAACAATACAGCATCAGACATTAAAAACGTCCCTAAACAGGGCTGCCTTCAGTTGTCTTTTAAAAGTAAAACAGTTGTTTATTGCCTTGATATCTGATGGGAGGGCATTCCACAGGGCAGGTGCCACTACCAAGAAGGCCCTCTGCCTGGTTCCCTGTAACCTCACTACTCACAGCGAGGGAACCGCCAGAAGGCCCTCAGCGCTGGACCTCAGTGTCAGGGCAGAACCATGGGGGTGGAGACGCTCCTTCAGGTATACAGGACCGAGGCCGTTTAGGGTTTTAAAGGTCAGCACCAACACTTTGAATTGTGCTCGGAAACGTACTGGGAGCCAATGAAGATCTTTCAGGACCGGTGTTATATGGTCCTGGCGGCCACTCCCAGTCACCAGTCTAGCTGCCGCATTCTGGATAAATTGTAGTTTACGAGTCACCTTCAAAGGTAGCCCCACGTAGAGCGCATTGCAGTAGTGTTGAAGAAATGTATTGCGATCCCTGGTATACTGTTGCATACCAGGGATATAGGCTCTCCACTTCCCACTCCAAACAAACTACAGTGATGATTAGCTTGCCAGACAAACCATGGTCCTTGTTTTGGGTGTAATGGTGAGCGAGGGTGCATGGTTTATTCTAGCTGTACACTAGCAGGGAGGACCAAAGCAGACAGGATTTGCTTTTGTGCAGCAAGACATGATTTTCAGGGATGTGTGAAGATGGCCAGGGTCTTGCTATCCCCTTTTTTGATGACTAGCAGATGTTGTAGATATGTGGCCTTGATTTCAGCCATGAACTGGCTCTGTTTTGTTGAGTTTGGGAATTGGCCTCTGTGTTAAGTGATAGTTTCGTCGCATCAGTAGCAGACCTCTGACCATCCGTGTCCATGAAGAGTTTCTTGTGGTCCAAGATGAGCCAGGAAAAATAATTCAGTTCCTTTAGAAATCTTCCTCCTATACATTTAAAGGTAAAGGGGCCCCTCACCATTAGGTCCAGTCATGGCCGACTGGGGTTGCGGCGCTCATCTCGCTTTATTGGCTGAGGGAGCCGGCGTACAGCTTCCGGGTCATGCGGCCAGCATGAATAAGCTGCTTCTGGCGAACCAGAGCAGCGCACGGATACACCGTTTACCTTCCCGCCGGAGCGGTACCTATTTATCTACTTGCACTTTGACGTGCTTTCGAACTGCTAGGTTGGCAGGAGCAGGGACTGAGCACCGGGAGCTCAGCCCGGCGCAAGGATTCGAACCGCCGACCTTCTGATCGGCAAGCCCTAGGCTCTGTGGTTTAACCCACAGCGCCACCTGCATCCTCTCCTATACATTTACCTCTTTTTAAAGCCAGGAACTAGAGAAATATTTTTATACGTGGCAGAGAGGGAACACTGGCTTTTGGGGTGGATGTAAGTAAAGAAATGGGTTGCTGGGAAGCCTGTGTACAGATGAAATTTATGACAGTCAGAGACCAGCTTGAGAAACGCAAATGGAACTACAATCCCAATAGCAAAACAAACATTTAAAACAATATACAACAATGGATTTGAAGTTTAAAAGTGCGATAGGCATATAAACACATAAAAACTTTAAAATAGACTACCTTAGAGAAATGACCCAAAGTCGCCCGCGGATCTGGGTTTGGGAATTTTCTTAACAAGCTAGATTGAATCGGGGGGTGGTCTGCGCCTACAGATCTGACCTTCTGTGTATGTTCTTCAGTGGAGAGGTAGGATTCTGTCCCTTTTGCATCAACTGAGGCCAAGTGAAACCTTGGAAGCTGTTTTTGATCTTGCTATGTGATATCGCCTTAAGGTTGGGAGTGGGGTTTCCTGATGGTTGCACCTGCAGTGGCATTTTTATCCCCCCCCCCCCCGGCTTTTTAATTTAATCTGTTTTCTCTCCTTCATGGTTCTGGGCTCTTATTTAGAATTCTGCTGCTTTTAGCATTTAGTGTTAACAGTCGTGTCTGCTCCCCCACTGGGATTTGTTGGAGGTGCAGGATGAAACTTATTTTATAGCATGTCCATCCTCTACCCAGCCCCTTGACGCATCTCTTGTTTATTGCAGACAACCAGCTGAAGTCTTGGATGAGCAAATACGGCTGGACAGAGACGGAGCCTGGGACCATCTTCATCTGCAACCAGGAGGAGAGCATCAAGCCCAAGAACATTGTGGAGAAGATAGACTTTGACAGTGAGCATCTTCTCAGCTTCTCTGACCAGTGGAGCTCTTGTCCTCCTCTTTCTTGAAGCATCTCCTAAGCTAGACGTGGGCTGTGTTGCAAGCAGGGCTGGTGAGCTCTCTGCAATTTGCTAGCATGAAGCAAAGCTAAGTTCAGCGGCCTGTCGATAAACTGAACAGCTTTGCCTACTCATCTTACTAACGACTTAAGGCATGAAAGATCCTGCTCCCAATCACTGCTGGCATTGCCCCCCATATTCAGGCACATATTTATAGCAGAGGTGGGGGACCTTTTCCAACTTGAGAGTCCGTCCCCTCGTGGCTCATCTCCCAGGGACTACATATAAGTGGAAGGTGTGTCCAGTCACACAATCTCCATCCTCTTGTCTGGGTAAGCAAGAGGTATTGTCCCAGTGCAAAGACACAACCCAGCCGTGTAAAATCACCAGAGGAGGACACAGCACAGGGCCAGTGGGGGATGTGGCTGGACAGTGTCTTAAAGGCCAGAGAAAGAGAGTTTACCCATGCCTACGTGATAGCTGGGGGGGGGGGGAATATACTGTATTTTTCGCTCCATAAGACACACCTGACCATAAGATGCACCTAGTTTTTAGAGGGGGGATGCAAGGAAAAAAATTATTTAAAGGGAGCGCTGAGCATCCCAGGCTCTGCTCAGCGCTCCCTTTCACGAGCCGGGTGGAGCGTGTGTCCGGCGCTTACAGGCTTTTCCCCGAGAAGGGAAAAGGGCAGCCTGTCACTAATGGGTTGCCCTTCTCCCTCATCGGGGAAAAGCCCCCAAGAGCCGCACACACGCTCTGCGCGGCTCTTTAAAGGGAGCGTGGCTCTTGGAGGCTTTTCTGGGAGGTGGGGGAAGGGACAGAACTGTGTGCTCTGTCCCTTCCTCCACCTCCCGGAGAAGCCAGCCGTTCTGGATTCTGGGATAGCTGCGCAGCCTCTTCAGGGCAGCGGGATGAAGGCTCCCCGTTGCTCTGAAGAGGCTGCAGGCGGCTAAGCCAGAAGCTAGAACAGCGAGAGGGAGCGCTGTTCTCTTGCTGTTCTGGCTTCTGGGATAGCTGCGCAGCTTGCATTCACTCCATAAGACACACACACACACACACACATTTCCCCTTACTTTTTAGGAGGGAAAAGGTGTGTCTTATAGAGCAAAAAATACGCAACTTATAGAGCGAAAAATACGGTGTTTATATATTAAAGGAAACATGAAATTCTCTTGAATTTCTGTCTTTGTGCAGAATTACAGTGTCTGTACAGCCTCTGCAAGTATCCCATTTAAGTGTGTGAACCTTCTTCTTTACAATATCCCTGGGGGGGGGCGGGTTGGGGGGGCATCCATATGCCTGTGGTTGACAAATCAGTGTGAGTACTTTACCCCCTGCTGTAGAAGGGAGAACTCAAGTGTTGATCATTGCTTAGCATTAAGAAAACCCCAAGTTTACTCCTCAGTGAAGCCATTGCTGGTTGGACAGTCCTAGCCTTGATGGGTCGCTGGTCCAACTTGCTCAAAGGCAGCTCCGCCTTTTAAGTCTCCCTATTTCTGCTTCCCTTTCAGGTGTCTCCAGCATCATGGCTTCTTCACAGTGAGGGAGGCCTCTTCCGGCAGCTCTCCCGTTTCCTGTTGCGTATTTAATTTTAACACCCCGTTGTAAAAAAGACCGTGGCCAATAAATGATTCTGTCCAACATCTGCCTCTTGTGTTGATGCAGCCTCTACATCAGTCTCTGGGGGCTGAAAGGGGAGCAGTGAACGCATTGCCCCCATGGAAAGATCTGAAGGACTTGGTGCGTTCCTGGACTGGGCTGTTTACTAAAGGTGTCAAATATCTGGAGAGAAGGTGGATGGAGACAAAGGAGGGGTTAAATTCAGTTGCAGGACTTTGATGTTTCTCTCTTCAATGGTCAGCCACTAACTTCCTGGAAAGGGGCAATAGCTCAGTTGGTAGAGCATGAGTTTCTTAATTTTAGGGTCATGGGTTCAAGCCCCGTGTTGGGCAAAAGATTTCTGCAGTACATGGGGTTGGACTAGATGACCCGTGTGGCCCCTTCCAACTCGACAAGTTTTATGATTCTTATTTAAAGCCAGGTTCCCCGATGCCATCCTCCCAGATTCCTTGCTTTCGAGTCTCATTGCCCCAGCTGCTGAAAGCACCAAGTCAAAGTGTCCTGGTGATGTCAGATGATGGGCAGGTGGTCAAACCTGGCCCATGAGGCTAGATCCTAACGACGATCTGGCCTGCGTAGGCAAAAGAAGGTTCCTCATCCCTGATCACCACCATAAATAGTGGAAGTAAATAAATCGGGGGCATAGCTGGTTCTTAATAGGCTTGACTACTGTAATTCGCTCTATGCGGGGCTGCCCTTGAAGCTGTCCCAGAAACTCCAGGGGGTGCAGAATGCTGCAGCGAGGCTCCTCACAGGGTCTCTGCCATGAGAGCATGTTCACCCAGTGCTTTTCCAGCTGCACTGGCTCCCGGTGGAGTACAGGGTCAGATTTAAGGTGCTGGTTTTGACCTTTAAAGCCCTTCACAGCCTAGGACCCTCATACCTACGGGATCGCCTCTCCTGGTATGCCCCACGGAGGACCTTAAGGTCCATATATAGCAACACCCTAGAGGTCCCAGGCCCTAAGGAAGTTAGATTAGCCTCAACCAGGGCCTTTTCAGTGATGGCTCCGGCCTGGTGGAATGCTCTGTCTCTTGAGACCAGGGCCCTGCGGGATCTGATTTCTTTCCGCAGGGCCTGTAAGACAGAGTTGTTCCACCTGGCCTTTGGCTCAGAATCAGTTTGATTCCCTCCCCCTTTTTCTTTTTCTTTTTCCTTTCTCCTCCTATGATGAGATTGCTCCCTAATTGTTTTAATGTCGTATCTTAATCTTTTAAATTGTGTTTTAATCAACTTGTTTTTATTATTGGCTGTTAGCCGCCCTGAGCCCGGTCTTGGCTGGGGAGGGCGGGGTATAAATAAAAATTTATTATTATTATTATTATTAATGCTATGCTTGGAGTGGATGGGGCGAGCTCTTCAAGCTGGCAAGTGTACACATTTTAGCTGCCCTGCTGCACATGGGCATAGGGGCATACCTGATTCAGGAGCTGACCTGATTCATCACGCCAAATACTCTCTCCCTCGAGGTGTTGAAAATACAGAGCAAAACCCCTCACTTGGACCACTGCCCAAACTGAATGGAGCATTGTGGCCCCGTCTTCCCTGCCAAGTGATGTCAGAGTCCAACTTTGTGTGTGCATGTGTGTTCATTTGGGGCTTAGGCAAATCTTCTGGAACTTGCTTCCATCTTCTGTTGACCCGCTGTTCGCATTATTGCCATCAGATGGTGCTGGAAACCCAAAATAGAGAAAGGCGCCTTGGGAGCTGTGATCTTTCCGCAGCTAATGGAAGCAAAAAGCTGTTGTGGGTTTCATCTGTCCTGACCTTTCAGAAATTCTGCTTATCCTTTTGTTTGGAGAGCGGCCGGATGTTGCCCACACCTTTCGAAATCCAGTGCTGCAATCTTCAGGACTAGAAGCTTGTGTTCGTTTTGGAACAGCACTGCAGATTCCTGGCTTCTCAGAAACAAATTTCTGCCTTTGCGCATTGCGGTTGCAGAAGCCCCATGCAGCGCTTGCAGCCGTGTGGCAGGCACGGTTCATGAGAGTGTCTGCAGGCCACAGGAACAAGTGGTGGTCTTTGCATGGGCAAAGGTAACCCAACAACTGAGAAAACGGGAGCAGCAGAAAAGGGGTGTTTACAGCACGCGCCGTTGGCGTCGGGTCTTCGGATGCTGTTGGTGTCCCAGTCCCATCATCCTCAACCGTTGGCCATTCTAGCTGGGTTTTGGAGTCCAACAGTGTATTGAAGACCTTATCCATGGCTGCCTCTGGTCCAGAGACTTCTTGTGAGTAGGGGCAGCCTGGGCCAGAGATACTGTATTGTTGGTGATGGAGGCACAGGTGGGACTAACCTGGTTCTCAAACACTGAAGCAAGTGGGCTTGGTAGGGAAATAGGTGCATAGATAAGATGAGAATTGACCTGCCTGGCTTTCTTTCTTTTTTTCTTTTTATTTATTTATTCAGAATTATAACAAGACATATTATCCAAAAACATATCATCCTTGTTCCCCCCCCCCCCATTTTTCCTCCCTCCCCCCTCCCACACAAAACCCACCCACCCCCCGACTTTCCTCAGTTCCAGTCTTTGGTTTCTCTAAGAATGTTGTTTTCTGCATGTTACAAAGTTGTATAGGTTTAGCTGATTATTATCAATATAAGGTTTGTGAATGTTTATTCAAAACCTGCCAAGGAATCCAGTTCGCTTTGTTGCGTCTTCAGATACTTTGTAAAGGGTTCCCATTCATCCTTAAAGTCACAGTTATCCTTGTCCCATAGCTTATATGTCAGTTTTGCCAGTTCTACGTAGTCCATCAATTTTTCTTGCCATGATTCCTTAGTTGGGGTTTCTTCAGTCTTCCATCCTTGTGCAACCAGAACTCTCGCGGCCGTTGTCGCATACATGAAGATGTTTTTCAACTTTTTTGGCAGGTCTTTCCCTACAATCCTCAACAAAAATGCCTCGGGTTTTTTAAACAAATGTTAAATGGAACATTTTCTTCAATTCGTTGTAAATCATTTCCCAAAAATTTTTAATTACCTTACAATCCCACCACATATGATAAAATATCCCCTCCTTTTCCTTACACTTCCAACATATATTTGAGCTAGTTTTCTACATTTTCCCTGACTGCACTGGTGTTGTGTATCATCTGTACATCATCTTCATGTAATTCTCCTTCAATAGGGAACAATCTGTAAATTTTAAGTCAGTTTTCCATGGCTTTCTTTTATCTGAAATCTTCCAGCATTCTATTTCATGGGATGCCCATGAATTCTAGTGTTAGGAAAGAGCGAGAGAAAAAAAACCTTTCTCTATCTGCTGTCTCCATGCCAGGCGTAATTTTATAAACAATCGTGTGGCCTCTTAAATTTTCTCTAAACTAAAAAGTGCTGCAAGAGAAGTGCTGCTCCATGTAAAGCTGTGATTCCCCAAAAAATTATGGGATGCCCCCCTTAGGCAGCTTCAAGTCCTTCCTCAGAGGGTGAAGTTCTGGGGGGGGCGGAAAATATTGAGGAATCTCTGGGTGAGGCTGCATGATGAGTAGTAGGCAGGAAACAAAAATGTTCCTAGCACGTTTAATGGGAAATGTTCCTAACTCATTTAATGTTAGCAACAGCTAAAAGGATCACAAGCTTAACACGAGTCAACAGTGTGATGCAGCGGCGAAACAAAAAACGAAAACCCTAACGCAATTCTAGGCTGCATCAGCATAAGTATAGTGTCCAGAAAATAAGGGAAGTAAGAGTTTAATTTTATTCTGCCTTCCATCACAGCTCTCCTGGAGTCCTGTGTCCAATTCTGGCCTCCACAGTTTAAGAAGGAGGTTGACAAGCGAGTGTGTGTAGAAGAGGTGATCAAGGGTCTGGAACTGAAGCCTTATGAGGAACAGTTGAGGGAGTTGGGCATCTTTAGCCTGGAGAAGAGGAGACTGAAAGGTGAAATGACAGCCATCTTCAAAAATCTGAAGGGGTGTCTTGTGGAAGATGGAGCAAGCTTGTTTTCTCCTGCTTCAGAGGGTAGGACCCGAAACGATGGATTTAAATGACAAGAAAGGATATTCCAGCCC